AACTTTGAGCTCTGATTCCACTATGTGCTTATTCTATGTATATTAAACAGAGGATTTTTTTTTGGTTTTTTTTTTAGATTTGAAGGTTTGCATGGTGGAAAGATACTAAGACAAGATAAGTTTGCAGCAGCACCATGTGAATAAATCTCTTTTGTGAGTATGTGTGGTTCTGAAAAGAACCGGAGGGACTCAACGTTTCGAACAGTATGCTCTGCCCGTCGTCAGGAGAATGAGGGATTCCAACTCACCGCACCCATCCTTATAACATCGCATCATCGTTGGAATCCCTCATTCTCCTGACGACGGGCAGAGCATACTGTTCCAAACGTTGAGTCCCTCCGGTTCTTTTCAGAACCACACATACTCACAAAAAGAGATTTATTCACATGGTGCTACCGCAAACTTATCTTGTCTTTGGATTATTTTTTGTTTCAGAAAATTCTTTTGACTTTTTTCAACTAGTCGATATAAAATGCAAGGCATGGGCGTAAATCCCAAGGGGGGATTGGAAGGATATCCCGCACACTTTTTGACGGGGGAGGGGGGGGGGCATTTAGATCATCCTCCCCCAGATTTTTGTGTTGGTAAACAAAAACAAAAAAATATTGAATTTTAATTTCCAAGTTTTAACTTTCCAACGGTCCCAATTTATTAAATAGTTTACTTAACATGTATACCCCTCCCCTACTTTTCGAATTTTCACGGCCGGGCAATTTTAGCAGTTTGCCGTATGGTAATCCCCCCCCCCACTCGCCGACGCGGATTTATGCCGTTGGTGAAATGCGTTAACGTTGTAACCGAACATTTGCCGGAAATCATGTTATTTAAAATGTTGTTCAATTTTGGCAGAAGAGTATCAAGCCGGTTTGGAACAACATTGTGCTAACTTGGTTATTTTACGAAAACGGATGGCGACTCAAATTTCTGTTGTATCCAGTCCAGAATAACGAGATAAGTCTACTATTTCAACCGTTTGAATGCATTTGTGTTGCAAGTCAATGTTTATTTGCAGCAAATTCCAGAAGGAATTTGTGTGGAATATAAACAGCAGCAGACAGGAACACATCTTGAATTTCAACAGAATAGTCTAAGCTTGCCACAATCCTAAGTATCCCAATCATCCACTCAAAACGTTGCGGATCAAAAGTTCATCAAATGTAGATCATTGCAAAGTCTCCAAGATCGTATGAGGATTTACTGTGAAACACAAGCATCAAAAGAAAAACAAGATGCGGTAGGCGTACAGTAGCTTTTCATGCACAAGATTTATATGTCTAATCCTACATGCGAGTGGATTAGTTGGGGATTCAATATAAAGACATGTAAAATGTCAGGAAGAGGCGGAATGTCAATTTATTATAAAATCTCGCATATAATAAAGATAATTTACGAGGAAATTTACAGCAAGGAACTTCACTATATAGAACATGTTGATGTTGTGCTCCGTGATGGTCAAGTAAACATCACAGGATAAATGCTGGCCTAATTGTACTCTTCAACCAAACATTATAGCTACAAATTAATGATGTGTACCCGTGCTTTTTTGTTTTCTCCTTACGATTTTTCAATTTATAGGCCCTGTGTTTTGTTTTATCGAAAAAAACCTCATTCCGATCTTGGTCGTCTACAACTCTATGAAAAAGCAATTTCACTTTGCGCTCAAATGAAAACGCCCTGCGAGATGAGACGGATTATAACTCAATATCTAAGCGTCGGTGGTTTTTTTTTTCGTTCGATGTCTCATTCAAAAGTCATTTATATTTCTAGGAAAATAGCAATTGACAAACAAATCTATTTTTTGAGGTGAAACTCGGAAAAAGCGCGGGGAACACTTCTTTAAACACGCATACAATAAAATGATACAAGTCGCAGAACTACGAGGGCGCTATTTAAGATGCTGAATAGCGAACATTGCTCGTGGGCCTCAACGTACATGTTTGGGTGTGGCAAATTTTTCAAATTAAATTGCTAACTTTAACTAGTAATTAAGTTATGAGCTTTTTGTGGTACATTTAGGAGACGTAGTAATAAAAACAGTTTTGAAATATGTTTGGGTTTTTAAAATTTAGTTTACCTAAACAAGACCAAAACAAATAGTCCGAAGATGATCCTCTACCATAGATAAAAAATCCGACGAAAAAAAATCACTATACACTTGGTTTAATGATGTATCCCCGTACTCTTCAACCAGTTCGATGTTTTATATTAATAAACTTTCAACTTGTATGGTTTATTCCAACCAAAAACCTCCTTTTTTATCCTTTCTTTGGACGTCTGCAACCCTCTGAAAAGGGTTTTTGTTTATGCCCAAAACAAAAACGAGAATTGAATTATTAGCCTGCAGCCAATAACTCAAAATTGTAAAGTAATAATTCCATAGGGCCTTTGTGACTAAACTTCGGTCGATGTCTCATTCAAAAGTGAATAACTTTGTATATAGGCCTAGCTAGCAAAGTAGCAATTTAGAAAAGCGATCTATCTCTCGGGATGAAACTCGAAAATAGAACGCTTCTTTAAAAACGCTTCAAATAAAAATCCAACTTTTCATGTAAGGTTGAGCGAACATTGAGTTGCCCCCCTCAAAAAAAAATCCGGTTGGAAACACGTATTTTTGAGAGAATGTTACACACGTCACGTCACTTCAATATTCTCGCCTGGAGGCGCTCACTCATCCACAAGGACTTGTGCGACGCCCGTGAACATGCAGTCAATACTCTAGAGCATAGTACACGACATTCATGAACAACATGAGGTTGCCGGGCAACCCAATGGCGTAAGAGAACTCCCTGTTTTCATCATCTAGCATGTATCCCAACCGTATCAAGTTTGAAACCAACCAGAGTTCGGTCAAGTTCTGTTAAGTAGGACCTCTATCACATTCTCCCGGGTGCACGACGTCTTTTTAAGAGAGTTTAGGGATATTTAGGTGTGTTGATGGTAAACCTCTTACACGAAAACCACCTTAACCTCCCCCCTTATACCCGCAACCCCCCCCCCTTCCCCATCCGTGTTTTTGGGAGGCGGAATCGGATCACATGCCCTGGGGCTCCAGCCAAATAAGGCCGACAAAACATTTCCAAAGCACGAATCAGTTAGTATATATAGGGCATCAAAACTATATGGAATCATATGAAAAAAAATATACTCAATGTTCCGTCTCAGAGCTATTACATATCCGTTGTAATCAATATGGCCTATACACTGTTCAACAATTATCTTACTTTCGTCCGTGCACAAACGTAACTGATGTAGTGTATTTTTCTAAAATTCTTGTCAAGCGGTATACGTTGTCCGGTCTTCATCCTGTGCATACATGTATTCATGAGAAAGAAGACTTGATACTCAGCTGAAGTGTGCGACCATTTAATGACTTCTCCCAAAGGCAAAATATATATACTAGATGAGCACACTTGAGCTGAGGACAGTGCACCGAGGTGACCTGGGCGCGTTAGGAGGGCACAAACTGACAAATTATGAAAGACGGATGGATGAAACGGGAAATAATAACTCGCGCCATTTGGTACAATATTGATCGTTGATTGAAGCGAGGTATGGACTGCCAAGGCTAAATGACATCGCGGTCCTTGCAGTCGGTCACTGACTTTGCATGGTGCTATCGTACCGTGAAGATAGCTCCACGACGCCAATTTGACCTGACATTTCCGTAGATCATATTCTCCATCTACGTTCGAATTGCTGATCAATTCTTCACGAGTATTCCCACATACCTGGACGGAGGCACACATGAAATATTAAAACTGAAAGACCAAATGTTCAAAGGTGTCTCTTGGAATATTTATGTTGATGCATTCAAGTTAATGTCGTTAATCTGAATATTACTTGGATTATTTCATACACGTATTTTAGATTTTGTTCTGCATTAATGCAGCTGGTCCGAAGCCCTTGGCCTTGTTAGCGCGGTCAAGCTGTCACGACGATAGAGGGCGCCATCAACAAGTATCAAAGCTATCAAATTTAGTCTTGGGAATTTCTATTTGGACACCAACTCACGAAATATCTCACGCGCACTGTATTAAGAGAAACAAATTTTAGCAAAACATTTTTAACTGAATCAAAATTACGTACATGAATACTGAACACGATAGGCGAAGCGGTCGGGGGAGGGGGTTTGAGTGTGAAGAAAGTATTCAATGATATAAACAACCAAATATTCTTCCTTTACTTTGCTGCTGGATTTGAAGTAATTAAATTTGAATGAGTACTTTTAGTTGCAAAAATAACTTTATTTCTTCTGACCTTGAATACATTTTTTTTAAGCATTAACTATTATCAAACATTTCAGATATTAAACACTCTGAAGGTATTTTGATCAAAATGATTACAAAACTTTATGAAAATTTAACCATTTTCTATAATCCAGTTTTGGTTTACAATTAAGAACAGTTCATTTGCCTCAAATATGTTCACACATTTAATAAATTGGATTTCAAAATACAGTATTAATGTACATTTACCTTAAATTCATACTTTCTGAAGAACAATAGAGTGTAGCACTTTACGCAATATGTTTGGGTTGAAAAATACAGTCTTGTGGTTTTTTTTTCAGCAGAATTTGGACAGACAACTTGAATTGAAATTACTTCACAAAAATGTGGCTCCTCATATACAGTCTTATGATATTCAATTATTTAATTATGAAAACACTGAATGCATTTCTGTTACTCTGATGTAGTGAATACTGTCGCTGGTTTGACTGAAGTGTCCATTGTAATCTGCCATCTACCAAGGGCAGATCCAGAAGGGGGGGGGGGGGCCAACGGGGGCCATGACCCCCAAAAAACGAACTCAATTTTTTTGTTTTAAGTGACGTCACAATAAAGGCAGGCACTGTGCGTACACCACCATCTTTTCCTAAACAAAAAATGGTTAAAGTGGTCAGAAATTGCCTCAGATCGCACCACAAGAGCATCTAGAATCCAATATTTTTTTCAGGGCCCATGCCGTTAGTTTTTGGACCCACTTTTTGGGGGACCAAAATTTTGTTTTGGCCCCCCCCCCCCAAAGAAATTGTGGTCTGGATCCGCCCTTGCCATCTACAAACATGTCACTTCCAACTACATGTACATGTAGTGTCAACTGACAACTGGCAGACCGCCTTTCATTTCACGAAGTCATACAAGTAGCGGATGACATCAAAGCTTACGGTCCTGAAACAAATGAGGGAAAAATAGAAAATAGTTAAAAGTTTGACAACAGAATTTACGAAGTTGAAGTCAAGTCCTCACAAGTCAATCAAAACTTGGTCACAAGTCTTAAAATGAACTGTAAAACAAGACTAGGCAAACTTAAGTAAAGCTGGTCCAAGAGTGCACACAATTCTTTTCAATTGATTAAAAATGGCTGTTCATTGGAAGTCTTTTCATGCATCTTGTCTACACAATGGACCGGTTCACTGGCTTTATTAGGTAATCACATGCGATATTGCATAAGTGACAGACAGTCAGTGATATAGGTGCAAAGATGACAACAGGCTGGCCGTCTTCAGGACCAGCAAACACCAATTAATGTTGACTAAACATACCTTGCGATAGATCGAATGAACTCCAGTGACACAGTGCACTTGTATTTGGGTGTATCCAACTGGTCCTCATGTCCTACTTGTGCTAACAGTTGCAGGGTTACCAGTGAGGAAATCTGCAGGGAACAAATTCACAGTGGGCCTTTTTTTTTTTTACAAAACAAGTTATAACAAATTTCTATAAAATGATTGGATACATTGAAGTTCGGGACCATGAGAGAAAAGGTGTGTTTACTAAAAACGGGGATAAAACTATACCTTGTAATATCAGTCGAGAAAAGGGGAATAAGCATGGCTGGTTAGTCTTTGGTTGGTTGATAATTTGTTTACAGAGTTCGGTTGGTTGGACAGAGTTCGGTTGGATTGGTTAAAATGGGCAAGGTGAGTCGTGTTGGGCTGGCGTAGACTTGGCTGGACTTGGCTGGGCTGGGCTGGGCTGGCTTAGGTTGGGCTGGGTTGGGTTAGCTTAGGCTGGGCTGGGATGGGCTAGAGTTGACGAGAAGGGTTCAGGGGAACTTACCTGTGAAAAGATATTGGCTGTTGGTGCCACCCTGGAGTCCACTATGCTGTAAAATATGGCCATCAGTCTGTCTAACGGGAATGCTCTAGGTCCAAGGAGCTGATGGCTGGTCTGCAAAGAAAAAACAACTAGAGAAATTAATCACTAATCCTCCAACCATGATAACGTTATGATGCCTCATCCACATACAAATCCTGTTTATGTTCCAAGGAAATGATGTACATGTAGTCTGCATGCAACCTCCATCTGATAAGTCAAACAGTTACTGGCTGACATGTCAGTAATGTCATGGCTTATTGCATTCTTGAAATCTCAGACGCTCTCAAGCAAATAAAATTACCGACAATGCTTGATCAGATGTTGTCAACACTCACTTCTTTCTTTCGATTCACAGCGCTCTTCTTGACCTTGCCGCTGTTCTTGGAGAAGAATCGGCGGTCGTAGCGGGCGGGGTTGTAAGAGGCCAGGTAGGCGGCAATCAGGAGGTACTTGGAGTAGAATGGCAGCTCTATCTGGGTCCTAGATGATGAAGGCAGGATACTAGACTGGCCTGTCTGGCTGATCTCGTCACGCTGGTACTTCTCCCATTGCTCACTGTCAGCAAAGCAACTCAACTTTTAGAGAACTCAACTTTTAGAGAACTCAACTTTTTTTTTCAGAATCCTTGCAAAACAAGCCTGAGGTTTTGGGTTAAATGAAACTTCTGCAGTTATGCTTTTGTAATGATGTACCTTGTAACCTCTCTGAGATACACCGTCTGCAATGCCTTCTTCAAGTGCGGCTCGATGTGCCTCCACAACTTGTGCGAGTCCTTCTCGGATGCCTCTCCTTTGGTGATTGGCTCAACGTACTTCGGGAAGTTGAGCTGTGCCTGTTGAAAGTCAAGTAATTCGTTTGATACCCAAGAAATATATAGTTTAAAAATGTAAAATGTAGGATTTCACTTATTTTGCAAGCCTCGTTAAGCTGGTCCCAGAGTACACAAAATTCATGTCAGTTGATTCAGAATGGTTATTCACTGGCAGTCTTCTCATGCATATGGTGTACACAATGGGCTTGATTTAGCTAGTGGTGGGAGAAATTCTGAGATTTCAAAATCCGGTTATCCTAATTGTTTTTAAACCGAATAATGATTTCACCGGAAGTTCCCTTCCAGCTCGCAGTCCTGCTAACAAAAAGTGGCGGGTGAGGTGCCGCATGCAATGCCCTCCCAATGACTGGGTATAGTTTGCAGGATTCAGTGACCACTGGGCCTGCACAAAAACACTCCAGAGCTGCAATGTTGAAACCTTGATGGAAACTCTCTGACAAGTTGAATGGGCAGGCTGTTCATATACCAAGAAGACCACTAGCAAGTGAATGCAGTTACAATGAGAGACCATGGAGCAAATTGGGAGATGTTCCAGTTGTGTTCTTTAGCCTGTCTCTCCAAAAAACTAAAAGGAAGGCTTAATGTTTTTTAATGTTGGTTTCCACTAACCGGTTTCTAAAATTGAAACCAAATAGTGGAATTCAAACCAAATTTAACAAAATCCAGCTTTAAATCCCATCTCTAGATTTAGCCAACTATGGTGTGATCCTATACGACAGCACTGCCCAGCTCACAAGTGACAGTCAGCCAGAGAGATACATGTAGATACAAAGAAGACACCTGGCTGGCCCCCTGTGTCCAACAACAATTCTTGGCATTGTCCCTAACGTAAATCTCGAAAAGTGTGATGTCTCAAAATACACACTCACCAGGTGCCTGATCTCGTTGAGGTCTCGACACACCATGTAGAAAATACTCATGAGTAAGTTGACGTAGGATGAATAGAACTCAGCTGAGTAACCCTTGGGGCAGTCACTGGCAATAATCTCCAATAACTCACCTTGACAAATGACAAAGTGAGTAAGTAGGAAGATGAGTCTTGTTATTATTTCTACGATTTATGATAAAAGATGAAAAACGACTGTGTGACCACTATGTGCAGGACACTGGTTTCTAAATGATGAAAAATACATATTTTTTTTCAACTTCTGGGGGCATTTGGTATGCAGCAGAAGTTGAACTCTACAGCTTGTCTGAAGCTGCATCCAAATCTCTTGTCAAGAGACAAAGGACCATGCTGAACATAGACTAGCCATAGCTCTAAACACACGTTTGGACATGGCTGAACTCTTGAACTCTTGAACTCAGTGTACTGTTTCATATGAATACATTAATTTTATGGCATTGCTAAGCATACGCTTTCTGCTAACAGAGCCTTCTATTTCATGGACACTGAAGCAGTAAGCACAGCGAACGGCTTAGCACGACAGGGATGTGCGAACATTTGCATGTGCATCTTCATCCCCGTGCAACCATTAGCACATGCACGTCATTAAATAGTGCTTAAAGTTTCGCAGAGTTTTTGCTATAGTTGCTGCAAAGCAGTGCTATGAAAAGTAGCCCCTGATACTCACTCTTTGTGTAATCTGGAAAGTGGATGATGAAAGGTTCAAAGTGATTGGAGCCGAACCCAAACAGAAACTTCTCCCAGACAATCTGGCTCAGAAGGAACACGCAGACGTTGCATCCGGATAACTGAGACAGGTTTAGGAACGCTGGAAGAAGGTTGCCGTCCATGTTGCGAAGACGCTCGGCTTTGTCAAGTACCTGGGAGTGGAAACAGATTTAATGCATGCAAATTTATTCATGATTTAGCTCCACCCTTTTCATTGTTTTTCCTCCTCATTACATGCTCCAGCTGTGCTCTTCACATGCATATGCATGATGCTGAAATCTTTTGCATGTATGTTGAGCATTGATCATGGCTGTGATTGGTCAAAGCTTCATGGGGCGGGGCTTAAATGGAACAGTCCATTGGATTCCCAGTTCATAATGGACTGTTCCTGATTTGCCCCTAAGCCCCGCCCACCTATGGTTTGGGTACATATCTCATCACAGTGCTTGCGACTGAGTTGATCAAGCCATCTTGGTCACCTGATCAAAAGTCACTATCTGAGTGGTCAATATGCACTGTTTTATCAATAGGTATAGGGTCCATTATGGAGAGATTGACAAGGCAAAATTTTGGAATGTAGCATTAGAAGGGATTCTTATTGCATTCATTCTTTTCTGAGAAATATGAGATATGCGTAAAGCGCTCGCCTCTCACCACTGTGGCCCTGGTTAGTTCTCGGCCAGGACCATATGTGAGTAGAGTTGTGTCTTGGTTCTCTCCTGTGCCACGAGGGTTTTTCTTAGCTTAGTTTTTCTCCAGGCCCTCCGAAAAAATTAAAAACTTTCAATCTCAGGCTGTGCTCCGTGGTAATAAATGGGTCGTATGGCGGCTGCCTAAGGCACCTTTACATGCCAGCGGCTCGACCATGTTGTAGCCGCGTCCTTTGCAATTCAGCTTCTCAACTGCGAGTAAGCCTGATAAGCCTTTAAAAAATATTTTAAAAATATCAAATCAAGACTCACAATATAAACTGTCTGATTTTCAATCCCTCTCTCTTCAATGGTCTTTTTCAACAGTCTCACAAAAGTGTTCATGTTCTCGCATCGATTTAGACTGCTGTAGTTGTTTTCAGGATGAGGCTTGTGATTGGCCACTTGGTCCAGAATGCTGTCCAATAGCTGCCTGGACGTCTGACACTCGATGCAGTTGACAAACGCATGGGGAAGGGACGCGGCCTTGAGTAGGGTAGAAACAACCAGGGTTTTACCAGTAGCACCATGGCCGTATATGAACACTGAGGGACAAGTTGGCTGGGATGGCTGTAAAAAAAAAAAAAAAAAAATTGAAGAAATCATTAAAATCATTCTTGAAAGAGAAGTTGAGGTTAGATAGTTAAGTGTTTTTTTGTACGTACCTCTCCCATAAGAGAATATAACATTGCCATCTGTTTCTCCCGACATAAAATCCTGCTGGTGACATCTTCTGTGTCTGAGGCAACAAGACTAACATCCTCCATCTTGAATTCTCTATAATCGCCAGAAAAAAGAAGAAAATTCAGAGTAGGCCTAGGATATGGGCTCCATCACAAGTACCCCCTCAACGGTGAGAAAGGGAGAGGTGGGGGAGACCACTGGGAGAGACATTCGAGTGCATCGCAGATGACGTCTGATGCTCATGCGAAGATGCTATGGCTATGTGCACTTTCAGAAACAATAAAGCCGTGCATGCTCTGTGCCACCACACGCAAACCAGAACATTCACGCAGTTTGTCTCGCCCATAGGGCTAGTAAAAGTGGTAAAAAAGGTGCCCACATGGAGCCCATACCAACCTAACTACATATGTGTCAGTTTAATAGCTTGAATAATACACAGATGAGGTTTGAAAGAATGCTGGGAAAGAATGTTGCAACCTGACGCTACTGTGGCAGTTGTGTACAAAGTCTATGCCTTTTTAAAGTATTTCCTAACAAAATTGGAAATACTTCTCAGTCCCAGATTCATGTCTTATCGTCATTTTTGCAATGACCTTCATTGAGATGTTATACGAAGAAAAAGCAGCATCAGGTTGCAACATTCTTTCCAAATGCTGCATCCTGACACCACTTTTTTCATCATAATATTATCTTGATGAATGAAGGTCAGTTATTGCAAAAATGTCGAAATGATGTGAATCGGGGACTGAGAAACATTTCCAAATTTGTTAGAAAATACTTTGAAATTCTTCTTGAATCTCAATAAACTTTGACCCACAACCACAGAAGTGGCGTCTGGATACTACATTCTTCCCAAAGGAAACTGCGATTGAGAAACATTCCCAGTTTCTGAAAATTGCACAACTGTCGGTCCATAGATTTTGTACACAAACGTAAACAATATCACTTTGGGGGCCTAGTATCAGTATCACTATCACTTATGTACGAATGTTTTGCCATACATGTACTGTATGGCAAATAAACGCCACTTAAACGTAGCGTCTTGAAAGAAGATCCACAAAATACGACGATCAAATCCACGACCACTGATTACCAAGCTGTCAATAATCGCTAAAAATTACATTCAATTTCAAACCATGTTGCCGTGTTACTGTATAAAGCAAAAACGAACAAGATTAGCTTGTTTTCATACTCCGCGCGTGTTGCAATGTCATTGCACTTTTGCGGAAACTGCCGAGTCATGGATCGCTGGTTCTAAACCGATTGCGAAGAGTCACCCAATCGCGAATCAATGAAACTGAACAGCTATAACCGCAAACCAATTACTTTACTTTGACCATGGAGCTATAAACATGTTTTGATAAGGTTGTAAAAGGGAAAATCTGCTCCCCCATATATTACACAAAATAATATGAAGGACGGAAGTACTAAAGTTTTCATATAAAGTTGGTCTCTTGTGCCATGGAGGAAGGAATAACCTCCATGCTTGTGCTAGGAATAAAAACACAAGGTTTGGTGTATTTCGGACCCTCTGGAAAAAATATATATTTGGTGCTATTTTTGCAGATCCAACGCACAAATAATCCCTATATCATCACAGGCTGCAGACAATTTGAAATTTGCAAATACATGTACAAATTTTATGCTTTCTTGACCATTAAAAAAATAGTTGTTGTTTATTGCGTAATGCCGTTCTCAATAAGGCGAACTGTTTTAATTGGGCCTTGAATGAATTGGCGGCTGGCATACTTTTGTCACTTTCTTTGACTGCCGGCGCGGTCACTGTGCACGGTGCAGAGCGTCGAGCGGTCGGTTTATACCGGTGGTTAGAACTTTAGAAGCTTTGGTTTGGGGTAAAAAAGATTGATTCCTTGACAATGCCACCGCCATAAGAGCTAGGAGAGGTTCTGACTGGTGACTGTGTGAAAGGTAAGAGGGTTTGGGCTTTAAAGTTTTAGGTAGCATTATGGTGTAGGCCTAGTGGTAGCTAGGGCACAAACGCCAATGGTGTGGCTCGATCAGCTCATTGGTTTCCTGTGTTGTTATATATTGTGGGAATCTTACTATTATTATTAAAATCTTAAACCACCCTACCTAATTACATGTCCATCATGCCAATTGAACATTGTTTTTCAGACTGTTCTTTAAATATGAAGTTCAGAATCACTGCCACTGGCATGACTGGGTTCATTTGTGCCATTGTGAAGCAGGGGTGGGAAATCTCAGCTTTAAAGCTGATTTCAGCTTTTTTTGTTTTGGATGTCAGCTTTTTTCCCTCACTTGCCGTGTAAAAAAGTATAGGAGATTTCCAAAGTTCAGCTTTTTTACACATTTTTCAGCTGTTTTTATCAGTGGTCACTCACACCCCTGGTGAAGGTCAAAATATTATTAAATGTGCAATATAACTTATTGACATCCCTACCACCATGCCTAATTAACAAGACCAGTTGGAGTCTGGATGCTGATACATAAGAGAGCGTCATTATCAGCCTCCGTCCAGACTCCAACCGGTCTTAAACATAGTGTTTAAAAGCAGCCAAACACACACTTATTTACTTATTATCCAGTATCCACCATAAAATAAGTAAAACTTCTGGAAACAGTTATTGCTCAGTCAATACATGGAGATTAATCCTTACATTCCTTCATGTCCAATTAATTGTTACACTGTTGAAGTTGACGTGGACGTGTACATTATGCACATTGTAGTATTTAATAATAGTTTCATAATATGAAAACCTGAAATGTATCTCTCAACTGCGTGATGTATTTTTTCTTTTGGAAAATTTCAGTGGGGGGGGGGGGGGGGGGGGGGGGGGGGATAGGGAGAGTAGGCAAGGAGGTTTGAACATTTGTGAGGAGATCTATCTGTAATTCAATACAGAGGCCTACAAATCAAGACACTTTTAAGGTGTTACTGCCAAATTTGCTGGGCGACAGTAAATTTTTTACCCATCATTCTCAACCCTACAGATCATGCAAAAAATCCATACATGTATGTGAGCACAAACATATTTCACAAGTCATACAACCAGACTAAATTATTGCATATTACTTCATTTCTCAATCCCATAAAGCAGCTGAATGGGTCAAACACCTTATGTGTGCAGTCTAAAAAAACGGCAAATATAAGACGAAATATTTTTAAAAAACATGTTTAGCATCCCCGCCCGCTTCCTTTTTGGAAGCCACCTTTTTTGGAGGCTGCTTTTTTTTTTTAACTGAAAAATTATATATTTTCACCAGTGACATCTTTTTGGCCATATTGTCTATTATAAATGGCAACCATTTATAAAAAAAAAAAAAAAATGGCGGCAAAAGTAGCCCAGTTGGACGGCCATTTTTGAGAAACAAAAAAACAAAAAAGGGCCTCCCACTTCCTTTAAAAAAAAAAACATTTTCGTTTATACCGGTATTGGCCTAATACGTCATGTGTACACGCATGGTTCCAACACAATTTGTTTGGGGGGCAGGGTCCATGGTGTGTACTGTAGGCCTACTCACCAGTCTTTTGTATGATCTCTTTTGAGTTGTACAATGTGCGTTGTGTGTACCCAACCGCTCTTATATGGTTGTGCATGCATTTGCATTTTTTGTGGTTATGTAGCAGCCTTCTCAAATCTGAGGCCCTACACTCCACATTCCATAAAGCTTAAGTTATGTGTGACCAGTCGTGTTTTGCAACAGACAGGTCTCAGCCTTGATGGAAGCAACAGCACTCTATCATGCACGTCACATGCTTGTTCTTCAAAAATAACGAGCACCGTAGACCCAACCTCGTTTCCAGGGTGTGGAGCAGGCTGCAGTACGCGTTGCCATTGCCGGTTTTACGCAGAGCCCGGAAGTACACAGTTTAGACTTTCGATTGGTCAGACTGCGCACGGTATACTAACGTGTAGTCCTTCTAAGTATTCATTGCACTCGGCGCAGGTGCGGCAAGCAAAGCATAGGAAACAATAGGGACACTTGGTGGCCACACACCATGGAGAAAAATATTTTGCCAAGGTCACCCCATACTACTGTTTGGTGAACACTTTTGCAGTATGGCCAAGTAGAACACGTAAATGGAACCCCTACGTTGAAGCCGCTGACCTCACACACTCTTGACTCACAGAAAAGCCAACACAGAGGTGACCAGGCAGTCAACATGAAAGCGCTCATAACGGCGATTCCTGTGCAAAAATGCAGTCACGAAAAATCGTCGAAACGGATCACCGGTCCGTACGGAAAAATTAGGACGACCCGAAGAGTCTGACCCGGCGGAAGACACCCTCCACATTTTTCCATGGACGTGGAGCAATTTTGGCGTCGCGGGAGACCGCGGTCTCGGATCTTTTCAGGAGCAAACATTTCTCGGAGGCCGAGTAAAACTTGCTCTCATATATAGATAAGATGCATAGTACATAGGCTGTACAACAGGATGCGCCATTATTTTGATAACATAATTAACGCCCTCTGTAGTTACAGAAACTTTTTATTGCAACGCCTTCGCTTGGTTTTAACTTTCCTGCAATCACATTCTAGCATAGCTAGCTGCATTGATCAGGATCATTCCAACATGCCCTGAATTATAGAATAGATTAGGCTACATATGCAGTGTGCATGATAATTTGAAAGCCTTTGAAAATGTTTGGGGCAGGATGACTTTGCATTTTTTTGTGCAACATTAACAATATGCCGATGTATAAGTTTAAAGGTTTCATTGCTTAAAAGATAAGTTATGTAACATGGATAATAGCTCCATGCAGTCCGGATGTGTGCAAATATGAGACACAATAAGCATTCTTGCGTGTTAAAGAGAAAGCTGCACGTTTCACCATTGTTGCATACAAGTACAGCCAGCAAGGTCCATGGTAGCTCCATGGTCTGCCCATGTGCTTGTGTTAGACCACGTATTGTAATAGTAAAAGTTTAGCCCATCGTTTTCAGGTGTTAAATTTCATGTATGTTCTGTATTATACATGTACTTGCTCACACACACTCTGCTGATGCATTCCTTGGAAAAAATGTTGCAACCTGATGCCAATTTTTTCTTCATATGTCATCTCAATGAAGGTCAGTCATTGGAAAAATGATAAGACATGAATCTGGGACTGAAAAACATTTCCAATTTTGTTAGGATATAGCAAATGCATAAGACAATTTTCTTGACTCTGCGTAGACTTTGTACACAATCGTGGAAGTGGCGTCAGGTTGCAACATTTTTTTCCAATTCCTTCTTTTCAACAATTTCACTGGACCATTTTTGTGACAAGAGTTCTAATTAGTTTCTTTTTTACTTGATTGTACATGTATTGTTGCAGTAGATTTCATCTTGGTCATGGAATATATTCACTGATTTTAGTCAAGGTCGGACCGCTGTACAGGCCAATTGGTTTTTGTGTAACAGTTCTGTATCACTGATTGTGTGCTTTGTGATGAGTGAAAAATGCATGGTGGATAGAAGCGGTGCGTGGCACAAACAGTTAAAGTACATTTTTAAAAATGGAGTCTGAAAAGAGCCTGTCTACAGTGTACATGTACATTTGATATGTTTGTTGTAAATTTATTAACTCAGTCTGTTGGAGATAACTGAGCAAGTACATGTACATACATACAAAAAAATGCTGCATAAGATTACAGATGAAAAATCTGTAACCGAATGCTATGTATTACATGTTTCATGTACATGTACATTTTAATGTACCTGAATTGTACATTCTCTCTGTAACAGTGTATTGCACTTTTGCTCTTTTTTGTGTGTTGCAGGATTCGGACTTTCTTTGAGTAGTTGAGCTTGAAAATCTCCAATAACCTCAAAATGGGTCTGGAGAAATTGAACTGGTACTGCGGCATCAACGACTCTGATAATCTGAACAACTTCACCTTTGACGTGAACCACACCCTGTACAATGCCTGCTTTGTGGACCTCATCTACACCTTATCACACCTCATCTTCATCTTGCTGGGCGTCCTGGTGCTCTTCATTCTCGGATGCTGCACTCGGATCCGCAAGGAGCAATATCGCTACCTCATCCAGTACCCAGGCCACAACTTGCGCTGGGTGATCTATTTCATCTTGTTCACCCTGGTGCTGTCTCAGATTGCTGAGAGCATCTTAAGCGAGTTGGAGGTGCAGAGTTGGGAGCCAACCCGACCCCACCTCTACATCCCAGCATGCTTCGTCCTGGTTGCCTCGTTCCTGTCCATGTTCTTCTACAATAAGATGGAGACATGGAACCGCCACCACATGTCCTGGCTTCTCGTGATCTACTGGGTGCTGGCCCTGGGAATCGAAGTCATCAGATTCCTGAATTTCTATCACGATCCCGAGGTGGACTTCACCCTCTTGCGAGCCGATCTTAGTCTCGCTGCCATGGTTATTTACACCTTGTTGCTGTTGCTGGAGCTCAATGTGATCAGAGTGAAGGTAAGTTTTCATTGATATAAGGTTCATTTTGAAAGCACTTTATTTATAGAATTAACTCTAACCTTCCCAACTCCCATCAAAATTCATCCACTTTGGGAGATTTTGGCAGACAAGCCATCTGTACTAAGTACATCAAAATTCACATGCAGTAGTGTTGGTCTTGTGGTGGATTTCTGCAGATTTGGTCCTGAAGCATTATGTGAAGCAGGGTCAGTAATGGATTTTGGCGGACTTGGTCCAGTACTTAGAAAATACTTTGAGAGTTTGGGTTAGGGTGTCTGCAGAGGTAAGTTTTATGAATCGGCTTATAGGAGAATATTGCTTTCAATAGCAAATGTTATGTGCAAAGCAAAATAATAAATCGATAACTAAAATAAATTAACAAAAAAACATAACAGAGAACCAGGATATGTCTGCCACAGACTTCCTTGATATTGAATTTTGAAAAGATCTTGGAGGGATAGTGTTTGGGAAGCTTGGTAGAATTGTGGGAACTTTTCTAGTGTCACCAGGAAACAAAGTGACATAAGCTGTGTCGCGGATACCGCCATCTTTGAAATTTTGGGGGGCATTGCAATGAAAAGACGTCCCATCATGCTCAGCTACATTTGCACGACGGGACGTATTTTCATTGTAATGTCCCCCCCCCCCTCCCCCTCTCCCCCAATTTCAAAGATGGCGGTATCAGCGAAATGGAAATGTCACTAGCTCTTGCCTCCATTCACTTCAAGGGCTGTAGAGGCTTCAACAATGTACATGTGCAATGTATGCCTGTGCAGTGTCTGTCTAAAGTTTCCAAATTCTGAGTTCGTGTATTGTGTTGAATGCAAGGTGGCTGCACTGTAAACATGGCTTATAGCAAATATTGGCTTTATGAGATTGCATAAGAGAATACATTACCAGTGCCAGTATTTTTTTTTTAGTGTAAACATGAAACTGACCCTTATGAATACCCAAGCTCTCATGCTAGATGTTTCCCCAAGCCTATATTTTTATGTAGAACTTTATAATTTAGCTCATTGAGTCATTTTGGGTTCCCGACTATGCAAACTCTGTAACTGCAAAATAGTCACATTTAATAGTTTCTTGCAATTGACAGTGTTAAATTAAGAAACAAACTAACATTTGTGTGGTGAAAATCATGAACAAACCGACTTTTTGTTGTAAGTCTTGCGTTTGAAATAAGATGAACAAGTGGGATAAAATGATTACATTTTGGTTGTTCTAATCTCAAACCCACTTCACATAGATTCTAGTATTAGAGCAAAGCCACAAAGTTAGTCTAACATGGGGTAGTGGAAAATGTCAAGGATGAATGAACCATGATTACTGTCCTAACATTCAATTCATTTGTGCTGGTCCCAGAGGGCCAGCCTAGTGCCCTCTACGAATCTATTTCACTGACTCATTGACCGGGCAGTGCTGTCGTATAGGATTACCCTGTAATGCTGATGAATGGACTAAATCTGATATTGTGCAGACCAGATGCATGAAAAGACCTGTAGTGAATAGCCATTCTGAGTCCATTGAATTGAATGTACTAGATTTACTCCTAGGCTTACCTTGTCATGTTTGGTGAAGTAAAAACTGATTTTTCCTAAAATTGTCAATGCAAATTGTTTATTCCCTTCCTGATGTTTTACATTGTAAGTTTACATAAGACCATTCTCCTTTTTTTCAAGATCTTCAAGTGTTGCTGTGAGGAGGAGGAGTTTCCTGAAGACCTGAAGAAGGAGGACATGAACTATCTACAAGGCTACACCAGCCTGCTATCCTCAGCGTTCTACTGGTGGCTCAACTGGATCTTCAAGAAAGGTTTCAAGCAAGCTTTGGAGATATCTGATCTGGGCAGTCTGTCTGAGGTCCACACCACGCAGTATCAGAGGGATGCCTTCACTAGGGCACTCAAGAAAGAACAGGTACACATTCTAGCTGCTTACCAGATTGATGTAAGGCATATACATGTAATAGTTCCAGCTTAATTCTCCCCAGGGGGCATTTTCGCTTATGGAGTCTGGGAAAAATTTACAAAAGGAGAAATTTGGAAGGACTGTTCAGTGCATTGCCAACAGTGCCTGAAGCCAGTGCATTGCCAACAGCGCATGAAGCCAGTGTTGTGGTCGAGTATATTTTTCTGAGCTTTGATTGCTGAAGTACTTGTATGTCCAAGTACGAGTACAAGTATAGGTCTCGGAGTATGAGTACTTGTACTTCCGAGTACGAATACGAGTACTTGTACTTCTGAGTACTTCTTTTTCCCAATACGGCCACATGTCAAATGGTTCATGGTGCATAATTGGCCCAGGCCCAGTCAGACCGATATATACAGACCCACTTACGGCTAGCTGTTAAATGTGTTTGTTCAGGCGTGCACAGTGGAAAATCAGGAAACTCTGCAAACAACCATTTCAAACTGAAAGTATCAATAAACTAAGTTTGTGGTAAATAAATTTATACATTTTTTTTTTTTTTGAGTACTGCTATTTGAGTACGAGTACTTTGATGATCGAGTACAATTTCGACATGTGGAGTACGAGTACTTTGCTTCCCGAGTACAAATACTGTCACTTCAAGTACGAGTACTTTGACATTTGAGTTCGAGTACTCTAAAAAAAAAAAGTACTCGAGTAGTAGTTGAGTACAAGTACCGTGAACGAGTACCGCAACACTGTCTGAAGCTCAGGCGAAGAAAATACTGGTTGGTGTGATCCAGAATAAAGTTAGTCGTGCGTCCCTCATGCCATAAGAGTCCAAACCAATACATGAATGCGGTGTGCCCGTCCCACTGGAGGTGTTACAACTGATAATGTAGTAACCAACGGATAACGTATCACCAACCGATAATGTATCACAAATTGACCGATATTGTATCACTAACCGATAATGTACCAAAAATTGACTGATAGTGTTGTAAAATTTGTATCCGATAATGTATCACGTGTCGACGGATAATGTAACTACAAAATAACTGTATCCGATAATGTATCACCACGGAACGGATACTGTATCAACCAATAAGGTATCAAAAAACAACCGATAATGTATCAGTATGGGGAAAAGGTGTACACAAAAATACCCCCTATCTAAGCTGCCTTTGTCCGTATTTTGAAAAGGCGGACATTATACCAGTAATTTTTTTTTTGGGAGGGGGGTGTCACAGCAGAGGGAGGGGGGGTGCATTTTTTTTAGGAATTTGTATGCAATTTGTTTTGGGACACAGCCCCCCCCCCCCCCCCCCCCCCCCCCCCCCCCGGATCCGCGCCTGTGTTGGCCTCAAGGAAGCGGCAGGCTCGTGACGTTTGGACTCCAAACTGTGTGGGTTGAACAAACTGAAGTCAGTGGGTAAATAACAAATGACGTCACATGCGAACGGTGCCCCCCCTAAAAAAGCCAGGGCCTTATTTTGTACGGTACAGTAATATTGTGTACATGATTGTAGGATTTTATCAGCGCTCCCCGTTGAAAATATGGCACGACCCCCCCCCCCCTCATCGACCCCCTCCCCCTCACCCCCCCCCCCCTCATCCCCCCACTAAATGAGCAGTAATGCTGTGATTGTGCCCTTTTCAAATCTGTAAGAAAAAAAATCGACTGGGGTCGACAAGAGACCCATGAAGCTTGATCGCATCTACACTATCTTCGACGATTGCCGCCTAAATCCGGTAAACTTGTTACATTGTATCTTTTGTGACAGCTCAAGTTTCATGATCATTTCAGATGGTAGTTTTGCTATACACATGCCTCGCCACTCGTATGTGTTCCCGGTTCATGCACAGCGCGTATTTTGAATGTGCAAAGTTACTGGGGGAGGGAATAGTCTGGGAGACCATCGCAAGTTAAATTGAACGTATGCGCGCGCCGAAGTTGCCTGACGCTCATGCGAAGACGCTGTTGCTAATATCCACATTCTGGCACATTCTGGAAGTGGTGTGCAACTTTGCGCGCGAACCAGTACAGTACGCACATGCTGTGTCCCGTCCATTGATCTCCGTATGGTCCCGTAGTGGTAAAACGCGCCCTCTTGTGTCGCAGCCCATATGGAGGCCAAGTGTCCGGAGAAAAGAACTTGTCCACATTCGGTGCGGATGTGCGAGTGCGGTTACCCCCCCCCCCTTGACATCAAAAGCTGAATACGCCACTAGCCTAGGCCCACGTGGAAGTAGAGCGTCTCCAAACCAGAGCAACTCCCTACCTCCCGAATTCAAAAAAATATATTTTTAATGATAAACTTTCTCGAGTGGGGACTTATCATAGTAAAGGCACTTATAAGACTTTAATTAATTTGCAATATTCCACCTTTTCCCAATACTGATACATTATCGGTTGATTTTTGATACATTATTGGTTGATACAGTAACCGTTCCGTGGTGATACATTATCGGATACAGTTATTTTGTAGTTACATTATCCGTCGACACGTGATACATTATCGGATACAAATTTTACTACACTATCAGTCAATTTTTGGTACATTATCGGTTAGTGATACAATATCGGTCAATTTGTGATATATTATCGGTTGGTGATACGTTATCGGTTGGTTACTACATTATCAGTTGTAACAGGAGGTCTCAAAGCGCCGTCTCCTGTTCTCGCTAAGAGTCTATAGGACATTTCTTAGTCCTTCAAAATCATTCGCTGTGTAGGAAAATAGTGGCATAATCTTATAAACTTTCAAAGGATATCTGAACCCCACATAAAGTTAAAGTTACTTGGCACTACCTGCTTAAATCTCGTAATATCCTCCAAAACCACCCGATGAATTTTGCAAGATTTTGCAAATATATGCACCTGCTGCCAGGAGTCTCACAAGAATTTTTGGGAAAATTTAAAATTGTCACGGACACCAAGAACTGACGCTTGGTTGCACGTGAGTGCCCGGCACACAGGCATACTTTACAGAACCGAGATGTTTTCGTTTTCTCGAACTGACACACAGAACTTATACACTCAATCCATACATTTTCATTTTCACAAACTGAAAGCGGTCTTAATTTCACCAGTGTTTGTGTATGCTCAAAAGTATACGAGTGGAGTAACTTCGTGTCAAACCTTTCAAAGGGTTTTTCTCTGAATTGTATTTCCACCGTGTGCTTGTATTTCATTTTGTGAACTAAACGTATTCTGTGATGCATCCGTGTACAAAGTACTCCCACGTGTCGTTTGGTGAAACAATTGATTATAGGGTTTCACAAACTGACGGCACACACTGCATGCATATCAGTTCGTGAAACGGTGATGAAATAACGGTTTTCTACAAAATTACGAGTGGGAGATTTTCAAATAAAATTCTTTGAGCAAAGGGGAATTCTCATGCTTTCCAGACAGTGTGTTGGGGGATCCTTAGGTAGGCCCGATGAGATTGCTACCTGACACTTTTCAAATCAGAATTATGCGAGCTCAATCATAGGGGTAAATAAGGACTGATCTCATTCTGACCACCTGTTCTACCCCTACCAGGCCCGATCCAAAGCCCACAAGATTCCCCTCAGCCTGTACCGTGTCTACGCCCGAGCCTTTGGCTTCCGTATCATGATTGGTGGCTTCGTCAAGTTTTTCGGTGATGCTGCCACCTTCGTACCGCCCCTCGCTCTCGCAGGAGCCATCAGATACGTCACCACTCTCTACTATCAGCAGGGGGAGGATAATCTCATCGACCCTTCAAAGGTGATGTCAGTTGGTAGAAATTTCAGTATAGAATCAGAAGATTTGCACTAGAAGCTTGTAATATTTGGTTCTCCGAATAAAAACAGTATTCTATTTTCAACTTTACTTTTTAGTAATGACTGTGGTATCCTGCATGAGGGACCACTGAAGAACCATTGAGTCTTGTTAAACCATGGTATTAGAATCTGAAGTTTTGATTGGGCTAGCTCATGTCATGTGACATTTACTAGGTGTTTGTATTTACCACTGAATAACAGTATTCCATGGATTTGTCATAAAACATGTTAGTGTGAAGTTCATTTCATCTTATTAATAACGTCTTAAAGAATAAGACTGAGTCAAGTCTCTGTATGAATTTCAGACCAAGTATGTCTCGGTGACGGATTTCTTGGGTAACGGCTTTGTGTTGATCATCATCATGTTCTGGTCCAACATCATCAAGCTGTTATCCCAGCAAGGCCACTATCACATTGTCATCACTGAGTCTGCTCACATCAAGGCATCCCTACAGGTAAAGTACAAAAATGCTAAGCAGGAAAGTGGAGTCCAAAACTGCTTAGTAGATTTAACCTGTTCAGCAGCAAATTTAGCCTCAGACTAAAGCTCAAATCTGCATCAATCATGCGTAATCAGTAACACGTTTTTGCCAAACAAAACTCTCCTGTATAAAGAAGCAGATCGAGTGGTAGCCTTGGTCAAGGACTTCATCGAAAGTGCTAGTGCCTTCGTCGATAGTATCTGATATAGTAGCCGCATGAGGTTGCTGTTTGCGCTTTGTACATTGCTAGTGCACAGGTTGTGTAAATGTAAGCAGAATACCATCATGGATACTATCGACGAGGACCTTGACCAAGGCAAATTTGTGGTCTACTCAAAGGGCCATTTTATGGAGGTGCTAAGCTCAAAGAAATATTTGTTAACAGATGTACATGTAAACAAAAAAAATTAGTGCACGTTGAATTTTGTTTGGCAATGTCTACAAACTATGTCAACTTTCCCATGGTGCACTGCAGGTAAACCAGGAGTTGTTCTGCTAATGACGGTTCATGTTTATCGTGAATTACTTATATTGATTGCACCGCAATGATTTGGTTTTTTTTATACAGGTTTTATGACCCAATTGTTCTGACTTGCGAACAAGTTTGGTAAGTTGCATGTCTTGACAGGGGATCCAGAAAAATCTATCCAGTGCTCTCATTACATGCTGTCTTTTCCATAAACACAGGCGGCGATATACGACAAATCGCTACGTCTCTCCAGCTACACGATGACAGGGGGCGCTATGACCATGGGCCAGATCACCAATCATATGTCGGTCGACACTTCCAATGTTCTGAACTCGACGCAGTGGGTCCACTACATCTGGTCCATTCCATTTTTGGTACGTTCCGTAAGATTATTTTTTTCTCGCAGAAAGCTAACATATCCTTTGCTCTGTCAAAACAGGCAGCTATTTATGAGAAGTCTCTGCGACTGTCTAGCTTTACGATGAGCGGGGGCGGTATGACCATGGGCCAAATTACCAATCATATGTCGACGGACACAACCAATGTTCAAACTGCGGTTCAGTACATCCAGTACATCTGGGGTATCCCCTTTCTGGTATGTACTGATGCCGGCGAGCTGTGCCTGGCAGTAGACTAGACGTGGCTGCACTTTTGAGGTTTGGGTTGTTTAACAAACCTCTTGTATAGGTATCATCTTCACTACTAAAAAGCTATTTGATGCTTCTGCACTGTGCTTTCTTTTTCTCTACTCTTTTCTGATTTCAACAAACTAATGTTTCTTTATTCTACCATCTACTGTGTGTTTTTGGCTTATCACATGCTCATGGTCAAATATCAAAGGTCACACACAATGCAATGACTGGACTCTATGCTGGGTGCACACTGGTGAAAAGGCCTAAACCCATCCGCCGAGCTCATGAATAAAAGTTATATTCTCAAAATATGCTATATTAGAGAGTTGTGTGAGCCTTAAAATTGGGGAATTGAAGAGATATGGCAATGAAATCTGGCCCGGACTTGGGGCTCCCAATTCTGATCATTTTGGATGCAGTTGAGCTCGAAAGTGCCATTATTTTGCCATGTTGTGGAGGGATTATTTTTCAAGATGGCTACTTTTCCGCTTTGGGAAAAATCGGGGTCGTCTTCTTTGGGTGGGAATTTCTCGAAAAGTTAATGGTCGACCCACCAAAAAATGAAAAGAAAATGAATGATGACATGTTGATCATCATATTTCTGTGCAGCTTAAGTGCCTTTGAGAGTTCTGAGTATTTTTAAAAGAATTTTGAATTATTTTTAAAAGAATTTTGAATTATTTTTAAAAGAATTTTGAATTCTGGGCATTTAGCACTAGTAACTATGGGAATTTCAATACAGGGTTGTACCCAGCTAGAATCACTGCTGAGCTGACTCACTGCACAAGAGCCCAGATACCACTTCATACCGATTTGTGTCCTGTCACTTTGAGCATTTTTTGAGAGTGAAGTGAATTGCCATACTTAGACAGAATTGAAACCATTTGCTATGACATTCCTGTGTATATATCAGCTCACCATCTCTAGTGGGGGCAATATTGAGCTGTCGACCTTTAACCCTAACCCCTTAGGCCCTCTGGCTCGGATGCAACCTCAATCCTGCAAAATCCTCCAATTGCCTCCAAGAAAAATTGGATTCAGCCTCAGTCCTTCAAAATCATTCGTTTTAGTCTTTAAAGGGTGACTACTGCCTCAATCTTCCAAAATCCTCTGCCAATTACTGCTATGGTTTGAAGCAGTGCGAATGGCATTTAGAAGCAGTGCGGATGAAATACGAGACAAACACAGGGCTGATTTATGCATGGCTGAACATAACCAATGCAGGATATGGCCTACTGGCTTGACGTAATGCATCCTCCACAAAAAAGCGATACATTTTTGCCATTCATCCGCAATCCTCTAAAATCATCCAAAACCGACAGAAGGATTTTGGAGGATTGAGGAGGGTTAGGGTTAAAGGTATAGTCCATCATTTGTAATTTGTGCATTTTGTTTGTTTGAAGCAACAAACGTGTTCAAAAGAAGGGTGCTGAACAACTAACCTGATGAAATTCCTTATTATATAAGTTCCTTATTATTCTTAGACATCTCAGAAAAGTGTTAGAGTATGTTACACACTGTTTGATTCTTTCTTGAACCTGTCTTATTCTGCCATCAGATCATCGGCTACATGGTGATTCTATACTTTGAGCTTGGAGTGGCTGCCCTGATTGGCTGTCTAGTCTTCTTCGTTACCATACCGATCCAGGTCGTCATAGCGAGGATGACTGCCAAATACCAGAAGACTGTCATGGTAGGTCTCGGAGCAGCTCTTGCATCGTGTGTGCTTGAATTACTTCGTCTCAGTGAAGACCTCTTTTTGACCTCCTGTCCTTGCTGTTTCCTCAGGAAAAATCTGACGAGCGTCTGAAACGAACCAACGAGTTGCTGCAAGGGATTAAGCTGATCAAGCTGTATGGGTGGGAAGACATGTTCTATACCTCCATCAGCAAAGTACGAGCCTTGGAGATCTTGACCATGATGAAGGGGATGGGCTGGAGGATTCTGCTCAGTAAGCTTGAGAAATTTTTTAATATTCATGACATACGTGAACAAGTTCAAATGACACTTTGACTATACATTTCACTGGAACCTACATGTATGCTAGTTGAGAATAGTTGGACTAACCCAGGACTTGGGGTCATCTTGAGTCATAATCATGATGACTCCTAACTCACGAGGCACATTTTATTTTCTTTAATACTAACAATCCTCCAGTTTGTGTCCACGGAAATACCTCAAAATTTTAAGAAAAAGGTAATGTTAATATTACATTTCATGAAATGTAAATATTATTAAAGGGAAGATGCAACATTTGCAAACATCACAAAATGGCATGATCAAATTATCACGTAATACCTTACTGGATTGTTAGGGAATGACAGTCTAAAGCATCCTGTAAAATCATGGCTCCTGGTGTGCTGACATTTTCAAGAAAAATGGTATTTTTCAACCCTGGTCGGCCGACCGGCGTTGGAAAAACTGGCTTTTTTCAAAACGTTCTCCTAATTTTTCCTTATTAGTTATTCTGCATTTTCTTTGCAATTGATTACACACCTGTGAAGGGGTACAAGCCTGCTAGACTGATTCTCTGACCTTACAATTCTCCAAAGTCTATAAATTGCTCTGGTTCAGACTACAAGAACATGATTGGTTTTCTTGGTTTTTCCAGCATCTACAAGCCCAAACGTGAAACAAGTCAGTTAAACAATATTTGCTATAACATACTGATCCTCCAAAAATGATTTATTTCTGAAAATTGCAGCAAAAGCAAATATTGTACATTCCCTTTAAATAGCTAGTGTATGTTTATCGGCTACTTTTATATCTTGTAATATTGTATCTTGTGTTGGTTTTAAAACAGTTGTTTGATCTTTATTTTGCCAATATAGTGACTATTACTAGTGCCAGCCCACTGATGGTCACACTTGTGGTGAGTTTCTGGTATTTTTTTTAATAATGGAATTATTTCATGGAAAATCCTTTGAAAGTAATTCTTCAGCAATTCAGGTGAAACAATTTTATGAAGTTGATAGCACACAAAATTTGCTTAACAAAAATGGGGCACCAGCTAAACTGTCATGCAATGTGTATTGCTTGTAACTGGTTGCCGGCTGAGTCATTCTTAGTGCATTCACTGAGCAAATTCCCTAAGCAATGTTTTCTACTAAGCCGGTCTACAAAATTAGCCCAGTGGTTTGATATTCGGTCTGGTCCCTTCCTACTCATTTCACCATTCTTATACCCTTTGACAGTCCTATGGCCTGTACACCAAACTAACGGGCCTGCCCTTGACATCAGACGTCGCGTTTGCTGCCCTCTCTGTCTTCAACCAGATGTCGCTACCGCTCTTCCTCATGCCGATGGTCTTTGTCATGCACATCAACGCCGTTGTCAGCACCAAGCGCCTGAGGACGTTCTTCGAGGCGCCCGAGATTGAGAAATCAGAGTTGGACGAGGAGGATACAGAGGTCGAAGTTGGCAGAGGACTCATCAACCAGGAGGTGAAACAAAAAATCAGTAGTTTGAAAAAATGCACTGTATTTACCCCCAATATTTTGTAAAGACTGCCCTTTTCTATTCAAATGCCCTTTTTTCACAAGCGCTTACCCCCCCCCCCAATATTTTTTAAAGAGTGCCCTTTTTGTGTAACAAGTGCCCTTTTTTCTGAACAAGTGCCCTTTTAAAAAGTATGTGGTGGCCTTTTTGGTGCCATCGGCCGTTGCGGGTGCCTTTTTTGTTAACTTCGCGCATGTATCTCCGTTAGAACGCCCATATATTGTCTGTTAGTGTGCATAATTGCGGTTTTGAACAGCGCCCCATTGACATGGTACCAGCCCCCCCCCCCCCCCCCCCCCCCCCACCACACACACACACACACACACACACCCACACACACACTATTTGATTTTACGGAGGCCAAGTGTCCGGGGGAAAAACGTGTCTACATTTCAGCAGGGATGTGCAAGTCCCCTTTTAAAAAATTGTGATGACTCGAATACATCAATGTCAACATGTGACAATGTTGCCAATGTTCTTTCCTATAATATTCTGTGCAGGTTGCTGTGCGTCAGCCCAAACGAAGGAGAGCAGAGGACAGACAACATTTGCTGACATCATCTGAGGAAGAGGATAGGATGTATGACGACGTCATCCACGCCATCTCCCCATCTCCTGTACATCCCAGCTTACCAGATAATATTGCAATAAGGGTAAGAAACCTGTCAAAACAATCTTGAAGAGAGGCAGCACTCAGAAGCATCACCAGAACAGTAACAGGGGGGGGGGGAGTGGGGTGGCACATTTCTTGGCCTTCAATCACAGGATAAAGCTGACAAGATTAACAATGTTGCCGAGAAATTGAACAATGTTAACAAGAGTGATAATGTTTCCAACAAGAATGGCAGATATTTCTGACCAAAAAACCCCAAATTTTCCAACAAGAACAGCAATTTTTGTGCCAACAGGATCCAGTCAAGCCTAAGGCTGCAGTGGCAAGCTTCAGCCATTTGAATTGGTCCTTACTTAACCAGTTCGCGCCGGGATTATTTTGACAATGACTGGACCCAGGCGCAGGATTGTTTTCTCAAACCTCGATGCCAGACGGGTTCAGGCCGTCATCTGCGGGTAGCACACCTGTTATTTCCAGCCTCGCTCGCTGTGAGCGGGTCACAGACAGATATTTCCGGCCTCGCTCGTTTTCGTGTTTATCCGTCATCCGTTCCGAATACTGCAAAACCTTGGGGGGGGGGGGGGTTTAAACAACGTCATCTTGGTTAATACTAGAAAAGAGAGGAACGTGATTGACTCTTTGAGTATCATTACCATGGCATCCCCACACTCGGGTGCATTCTCACTCAAAGACGTCATGGATCTTTGCACTAGTAGAGGAAAATTGCTAATATGTACTCGGTACAAGATATGTACAATCCAGTGGATGTGTTCTACATAACCCCCGAGGACCGACACGCAAAGGGAGAATAACAGATCCTTCAGTCCTCGGGCGTTGGGTCTTTTGGTAGAAACGGTCCTCTGTTGTAAGTTTGTGTGCTTAGTCTATGGGAGAGTGTTATAATACAGGGACAAAGGGAAACACAAAGCATTGTCCTCGAGAGTATAGTAAAACAAGAGTGTATGCACGAATGCAGTGTTAATTTCACACACTGTCTCTAATGAGTCCACTGTTCAACACCATCTACTATTCCTACTCAGTGTCAATAGGATAATCCTTCTTTGCCCCTGTCTTTACAGATCCGAGGTGATTATACGTGGGACAAGGATGCTACCACCCCAACCCTCAAAAACATCGATTTGGATATCCCAGTCGGTAGGTGATCTTCTGTCTCTTTGCATTGTCAAAACTATTTCATACAATTAAAATACAGGGTGAGTAAAAAAAGCGGAACCCAAACCCCCAAAATTATGTTTCATATTTAAAAAAATATGTAGCGCCAACAAAAAAAAATGAATGGAAAGCCAATTTCATAAGCTACTTTAAGATGAAAAAATGACTGAAATTGGTCAATCCGTTCAGAAAATAAATAGAATGACCCTAAAACCTGTCTCGTCCAAAAAAAAAAGCGATTTCAAGAATCGTCATCGCAATTGTCTTCAAACTTCACCAGCGATACAATATCATTTTAAACGTTAAATATATTCAACAGAATCCCTTTGAAGGCCTGTCCTTTAAAAAAAAGTAGATTTTATAAATCATATTGTTTGCCTAACCAGGGTTATTAAAAAAGATATTGTGTACTACAGTTGGTGACAGTTGTTGAAACAGTATTCTGTGTCATTTTCTTTGTTGTTCCAAACAGTCAAAACACACAATGAATTGCTTTTTTTGGACGAGACAGGTTTTAGGGTCATGGTGTTTAAATGATGATATTCTTTGAACGGATTGATCAATTTCAGTATTTTTGCCATCTAAAGTAGCTTATGAAATTGGCTTTTCGGTCGTTATTATTTTTGGTGCTACATATTTTTTTTAGATTTGAAATATATTTTATGGGGTTTGGGTTCCGCTTTTTTTTACTCACCCTGTACGAACGTAGACCCAAATTTATGTCATAAACATTCACAGAAATATGTGCAAGAGTTGAAATGTGTTCAATTTTTGTGAATGCACAACACAAAACCTTGCCTGGAATCACAAAATTAGTTTTGCATTCATTTTCACGTTGAATCTGAACTGGCCTTCAGCCACAGAAATCCTTATGGTATGCAGTTCCTTGTTAGCATGCTCAGTTGCTCGCAGATTGGGTACATTACTTACAAATGTACCTTGTACGCAGGGTCTTTTCCAACTGTGTTGTATAAAGTAGTGGGGACAGAACAATTTGCAGAATTCTGTTGGAAAGATTGAGGAGTACTTAAATGATGACTCCGTGGAAACATCACATAAACTTTCATAAAGTACATTGAACGAACATCTTCAATTGTGGATTGGAGTGCCATGGTACCGTGGCGTAGTGGTCTGGGGCGTTGAATTTGTGGTCTGCGGGTAATTCTGCTGGTTGTGGGTTCGAGCCCAGCCTGGGCTATGACACTTCTACGCCTAATATGGGTAGAGGCATTATTAATGCCTTGCAGTGGACTAGTTACCCATCCCAACCCTCTTCATACTGTGCAGAGATTAGATTATCTTTTCTTGTTTCAGTGTGAGGGGCTGGTTCTTCCGCGCTTTCCTCTGTAGCCCACACCTTGAGTGGCCTTTGGCCTTGTGATGAGCGATTTGCATAAACATTTTTTTTAAATTCCCTTGACACCAGAATATTTCTTGTTTTGTTTCTGGTTACAGGCAAGTTGACTATGGTAGTGGGTCAGGTAGGATCAGGCAAGTCTTCCTTACTGTCTGCTATCCTGGGAGAGATGACCACAGTCTCAGGAAGAGTCCAATGGAACAGGTAAATGGGACAGGTCTTAATGGATTACAGGTGTTTTGATACACTGAACAGGTGTCATTTCTCATAATAACACTCAACCAAAAAGAAAGTCCCCCTTAATACTTTTTTGTCTAACTCAAATACTACTGTGCACATCTCGCTCAAATAACAACTTAGCAGTACAGAAATTCTGTAGCAATCCAGCCATACTCCTTATTTGGCCAAAAACAGTTTCAACGTGCATGTACACAAAAGTGCAACTTTTGTTGGCATTATTTGTTATACATTGCATAATTTCCTACACATTTTTAAGTTAGACAAAAAGTGTTGGAAAGGGGAGACTATCTTTTTGGTTGAGTGTCTTTGTTATTATGTCAAGAAAATAAGCCAAAACATTGAATGAGATTATGTTGGGTATATCCATAACGGGTGATGAAAATCCATGTTTATAATACATTTTTTGGCTTCTTTTTTGGACATAAATTTCCAATGTACAGATGCTTAAAAATGGTCAGGATCTTCAGGTAATATTGATTGAAAAATAACATTTTCCAGTTCTATCACGATTCACCATGCACCATAAACAGTTGACCAATTGGCACCAAGGTTTTAACTTTGCCTCAAGATAATAACACAATATAGTATTTTGATGAGAAAAAGTAAAAATGGTTGCAACATGTTTGTATCATTTCAGTCAGTATGATTCCGTCGCGTATGGTGCACAGAAGGCCTGGCTGTTAAACGCTTCCCTCAAAGAGAACATACTCTTTGGCAACAAACTGGAAAAGGACAGGTAATGTATTTCCAGATTTACTGGGTCGCCAAGAGTTTTTAAGTGTTCAGATTTTATCTTCATGTGGTTTTACTGATTGCGTGTGACTTTCATAACGTTGCTCATTGTCATTTGTAAATTTTGAAGATATCTATGAAAAGAATGGTGTCTTTATTGAAAACTCTATACCTGAACTGTAAGAACTTTTCATTTTTCATGGTTGCCAAAAACAAAAAGGATTGAAATTGTGGGCCATATGCGGCTAGTGTTGTCAAATGTCCACCACAAGTCCTCGTAAGTCAATCACAAGTCCATCATAAGTCACTCAATCCCTAGACAAGTCACTCAATCCCTAGACAAGTCACAAGCTATTCAAATGAATTCACTACTTGGTTCTTGGTTCTTGGGTTCTTGGTTCTTGGTTGGTTCATCTCCTAAATACTCCGCGTGGGAGTTTATACATGAGGCCAGAAACACAGGGGCAAACCCCTTCTCTTAGCGATAAGTGTCACTGGGTTCTTTCACGTGCATTGGATTATACAACGCACGGGACCTATGGCTTTACGTCCCAACGAAGGACGAAGCAATAATGGTTAAGTGCCTTGCTCAAGGGCACAAGTGTCCACCCAGCGGGCTCGAACCCACGCCACTGCTGCCTCTGAAACACCAGAACATGAGTCCGGTGTTCTTAACCGCTAGGCCATGATACTCCATCACTTCTTGTGACCAGACTTGTGAATTTACCGGAGATGGACTTGTGATGGGCTCAACTACCCACGCAGGTATTTAGGTTCTGCCTGCTTAAACCACTATGGCCTCTGCACACCAACAAAAGAGGGCGCATATTCACCTCTTTTAGAGCTCCTTGGAGGGGACACACATCATGCACTTGCTGTACATACTGGTTTGTGCACGAAGTACGCACCGCTAACTGAATGTGCAAAAGCTATTAGCCACCGCGTGTTTGCGTGAGCGTCGTGCGAATATGTGTAGTTCAACTTGCGATGGTCTCCAAGACTAATCTCCACCTCCAATAACTTAAGATACATTCAAAATGCGCAGTCTAGGTCTCCCCAACTCTCCTTTTCTGGCCGTTGATGGGGTACTTGTGCCCGTAGCCCATCATCCATCAGACAGATGTTTGAGTGCCTGTTCTTTCTTTCCTGTCCAGGTACAAGAAGGTCATCGCTGCTTGCTCCTTGCAGCCGGACATCGACATTCTCCCAGGAGGAGACAAGACAGAGATTGGTGAGAAGGGAATCAATCTGAGTGGAGGACAGAAGCAACGAGTCAGCGTGGGTCGCACCATGTACAGCCACAACAATGTCGTCATTCTGGTGAGTCAATGATCCTTACTCCTTCAACGTTTGCAAAGGGAGAAATGAGGGAGACAATGAAGAGGGACGTTCAAACACATTGCCGTGATGCCTGAGGCTCATGCAAAGATGTGATGGGATTGTGCACCATAAGGGCGCAACCTAGCATGCCTACATGGTCTGTCCCCGATCCCCCCCCCCCCCCACCCCCACTGGGGGTCTCAAAAGTGTTCAAAAACCATCATCTACTGTCAGATACCCTCATAGGGTCAGATACCCAGGAAAACAATACCCAGCCGAAAATTGCAGAAACCCTGTCTTTGTTTTCTGTTTTATTACCTGAAAACCCCTCATTGCAGGTACAGACTCAATCTTTCTGAAAGGGAAATACGACTGTTTATTGATGGGTTGTTCTTTGAAAAAAATGCTTTTCATCCAAGTAAGGAGTGAATTTTCTACAAGTCCAGTACCCGCTGCTATGTACATCTGATTCAAACCAGCCAACCAATCCCGTTAGCTCGGTGTTCGAGTGGTAAGACATCTGCACTGGAAAGCAGGAGGTCGTGGGTTTGAGTCCCACCTGAGTGATTTTTTTCCAACTTTCTCTCGGGAGGTAAATGTCGATGAAGGGCAAAACCTAATTTGATCCAGTCACCTAGTTCCAGAGCTTGCAGCAGTTTTTGACTGTCTTAGGTGCAGTGTGCATGGGTGTGTGTGTGGGGGGCGTTCCTTTTTTCTTGGTTTTGGCTTGAGCTTGTTATGTTATTTGTCAGACAATCTTTTCCATGTTTTTTTACAGGATGATCCCTTGTCCGCCTTGGACATGCACGTTGGCAGTCATCTCTTCAAGGAAGGCATTGAGGACTACTTGATGAGAAAGAGTAAACGCACAGTCGTCTTGGTTACTCATCAATTGCAGTATGCTGACAAGGCTGATAAGGTGTGAAAGCTGGCCTCTTGGCTGAAGACAATGATTGTTGTTGCTAGTTTGTGAATCTCAGTTGTGAATATATAGAGTATCAAAATAGTATTAAGACTATGGAAATTTAAGGTGTTTGCATTTATTTATTTATTTATTTCTTATTTTAACTGGGTAGCCCATTCAGTGGAATCCACTGATCTCCCATGGGTCCCAGTAAAGAGAAGACAATGTGAAGAAATTACAGTTTTAGAGGTGGGAGGAAAAGCCCAGAAGAGTATTCTGAGGGAAACCCACGGAATCAGGCAGGGACTGAAAACCCAATCCACATATTGGCCCAGGCGGGATTCGAACCCGGGTCACAGCGGTGGAAGGCGGGGAAAGTACCGCTACGCCAACCTGACTCCCTGAGACACATCTGTGACGCAATGTCAATAAAGGTTTTCGAAAAAAGGCCTCAAGACCTTGCTGTTTTCTGAATCTTTGTAGAATGTTTTTGTCTTTGTTTGTTTTTGCCCCCAAAAAGACAAAATTTCTGAAATGTTTTAAAGATTTTTGAGTTTGAGGCCAAGTATTAAAGGTTGAGTGTATCATTGGCAACTATCAAACATATTATAGTTGAAAAGCATACTTTATTCAAAGATACTAATGACACTAAACTCCCTGTGAAATTGTTCTTTCTGGCATGCTGGCATTTTGAAGAAAACACTGAGAAGGTCGTTTCCAAAGATGCTTCTAAAGACGCATTTGTGAAATATCCGTTATTAGCTCGTTTTTAATAGTCAGATTTTATAATTCTGTTGCACGCCTTAATGAGTCGCCCTTCGAGAATGATTACAAAAAGCAAACTACCTACTCAACAAATTACAAATTACCAAGGCATCAGTGACAGAAACATGTCAAACTATGGATTCTAACTTTATAGAATGAACAACTTGCATACACATTTCCAGACTACAATAGCCCATGCAACGATCTCCTTTTTTGCGATTTGCAGATTGTGTACATGAAAGACGGTGTGATCCGTCACCAGGGAACGCTAGAAGACATTCGGGAGGAGAACCCAGAGCTTGTAGCCAACTGGTCAGCCACGGCCAATGAAGCCGAGGAATCGGAATCAGAAACTGAAGACGTGAAAGAAGAGAGAGCCAAGCTGGTGCGTCAAGTCTCCACTATCATGGAGGAAGAGAAGAAGGCAGAGCTAGCCAGAGGTAGGGCTAGGTCCAAATGATTGGCGGGAAAATGTCCATAGGCGGGTCGTGGGAGGGTCCCGTAAGCTCACCCTGTGACCGTTTACGTTCAGCCTCTATAGTCAGACTGTATAGACTACACACGAAAGATCAACTGTTGCAGCAATTTAAAATGACTACTGCAGAGTCTAGTCAACAACCTTTTTACATCAAAAACGCTTGTATTTCTTTGTGTGCCTACTTACATTTGCTATTTTTTGGAAGAAACCTCCGTTGTTTTTACAAATTTCCTGTGCACGCAATTGCAAAGTCCCTGCGCGATTTGCTGTGATGAAAACATGTGCGTAGCTACGCCAATGCTGTACTGGTTCCTGTTGTGCACTTGCCACATAAGGCATGATGGAAATGGGGCAACCAGTCTATGCCTGTGTCTATGTGGCAGGCCAACATGGATAGCGCATGACACATACACAGACTCACAGGGCACTGCAGTTAAAGGTTTTTGACAACATAAAAATGCCCTGTAAACATCGATGGAGAAAGAAGATTTCTGCAAGTTAATTCACAGAACTTTACTTCTCTTGTCTGTGTATGTATTTTCCGTATTCATGAATTTATTTTGAGGTTGTACCGGTCGTACTTTTAGCAATCAGTGCAGCCTGAATTCATGCACGCTTACCCTGCAAAATACGGACATTGTTGGCCAGTTTCCCGTCGTGACTAGCGTTGTGCAAAGTGGTGTACACGACCTGAATTCTCCATTATGTGTAAGAATTACCCACCGTAAATAGTTTTTACATTAAATTAAGGCAGGTTTTTATCAAAGTTGGTGGCAATTTCTTTATTGCATTCGTAGCGCAAATGGAAATAGTTCAGACTGAAATTCGCATATAATTGTACCCCATTCAATCAGCACATTAAAAAAAAAGGCCAAAAACAATTTTCCAACCTACCTACCCTAATTTTGAAAGGCATGCAATCGGAAGCAGAAGTATTTTTTTTTGTCCTTAGACGGGACTAAAGCTTGTTCCTGTACCGACTTTTGACCAGCTTTAATCCCAGTTCCCCGGATCTTAATTTTTTTTCAGCGGATTCAACACAAGCCGGCCGTCTGGTTGAGAAGGAAGAACGAGCTGAAGGCTCTGTCTCCTGGCGAATCTATCTGGTCTACATCAAACACCTGGGCTTTGGGGTCTTCTTGTTTCAACTCCTGCTGCTTCTGGGCAAGAACGGCCTGGGTGTGGGCACTAACTACTGGCTGGCGGGGTGGTCAGAACATGGGAATAATCACACCATCAACGCAAATGAAACAGAGGTAAAGAAATATTGACCCCATTGAATGTTTTAATAAAATCAATATCCCGAGGTAAATAATACCAAACAAAGGTAAATTGACCCATATAGCATATCACTCTTGATTTCTTCCAAGTTTTACAAATGATGCAAGTCCAAAACCTATGAAGAAATTAAGACATTGAACATTTGGGAAACCGCTGACACAGGGCTGGATAGCTCAGTTGGTAGAGCACCAGGTGCAGTCTTCCAGATGTTGCAGGTTCTAAACCTGCTCCAGTCTCTTTGTTCAAGCTCATATAAAACTATTGTCAGGGTGTGTGATGACAACCTGAGTTTATTTTTCTTTGAGGGTACTTGATTGATAAAGGGACAATACGTTTGTAAATATAAACTTTCATACTCAAGCCAAACCCAATTGTCTGAATTTAGGTTTTATTTATTGTCGGTCAGTCAGGTCAGTCGGTCATTTGGGTCAGTCGGTCAGTTGGGTCAGTCAGGTCAGTCGGGTCAGTTGGGCGAGTCCGGTCAGTCGGGCGAGTCCGGTCAGTCGGGTGAGTCTGGTCAGTCGGGTGAGTCCGGTCAGTCGGGCGAGTCCGGTCAGTCGGGTGAGTCCGGTCAGTCGGGTGAGTCCGGTCAGTTGGGTGAGTCCGGTCAGTCGGGCGAGTCCGGTCAGTCGGGTGAGTCTGGTCAGTCGGGTGAGTCTGGTCAGTCGGGCGAGTCCGGTCAGTTGGGCGAGTCCGGTCAGTCGGGCGAATCCGGTCAGTCGGGCGAATCCGGTCAGTCGGGTGAGTCTGGTCAGTCGGGTGAGTCTGGTCAGTCGGGTGAGTCCGGTCAGTCGGGTGAGTCTGGTCAGTCGGGTGAGTCCGGTCAGTTGGGTGAGTCCGGTCAGTCGGGTCAGTCGGTCAGTCCGGTCAGTTGGTCAGTCCGATCAGTCGGTCAGTCAGGTCAGTCTGGTGAGTCCGTTCAGTCGCGTCAGTCAGGTCAGTCGGGTGAGTCTGTTCAGTCAGGTCAGTTGGTCAATCCGGTCAGTCTGGTCAGTCGGTCAATCGGGTCAGACGGGTCCAGCAAATATTGGGTTCTGATTGCTAAGCTCTTTTATCTCCTATCCCTGTTTAGGATCCTTTACTTGGCTATTACCTGGGTGGCTATGCAGGCCTGTCTGTAGGCACTATCATAATCGGAGCTGCCTCCTCTACGGTTATCTACATTGGATCTCTCTTTGCAGCAAAGAAGCTTCATAACAGCATGCTCAATACCATCATGAGTGCACCGCTTAGGTGAGAAATGTGTCTTGGGCCCAGTTGCAATCCTAAATTTGTTGACTTAATAAAGAAGTCTTTAACTATGGGTGGTTGGTTCAGATTTGTGCGCACTTTACTTTGAGATTTGCAATGAAGAAAGCAAGAAGCAAAATAACCTTGTTGAACCTATGATTAGAAAGAAAAGACGATCCCTTTTCCTCCATGATCCTTCAAATCCACTATTAGTTTTTGCAATGGGAATGTAGTGGCCGTCCACGCAGCTTGATGCTCATTGAAGGTTAAAGGTAGAGAGAGTGGACCATTTGCAGCTATCTGAAAAGTGACCGACCAAAATACTGTTAAAAAGCTTACTTGGTTCAAAGATAGTGGTCACACTAAACCCCTGTGAAATTATTCACTGGCATACTGTCATTTTGAAGAAAACAATAAAAGGAGTTCAGTGCTTGACATCGCACAGCTGCAATCGGCTGAATGAGAATGTGTCCCAGATGCTGATTTCAGGCACAATTGAAAATATGACTCGTCAACTTCTGAATTGAAATCGTGATCCTAGAATATTGTTTCTTTGGAAAAAAAAAAATGCACCAATTACAAATGGTCCATCATATCCTTTAAGCACAAATAGTGGGTTTTTGGGTTTCCTGCATAGCAGAGTTTTGTTTTTGAGAATTCAGGAAGCCTTCTAGCAAAACTTCTGGCGGTACTTCAGGTTGATCATTCCTTTCCATGTCAATATCTGCATATGTTTTATTTTTATGCATTGCACAGGAACTGTTGAACTTTTTGTATGGAAGGGTGCAAACATGTCGTTGCTAATTCTTGAATTTATTGGTTTCCAATTTGATATGCCAGGTTCTTTGACACTACCCCAATTGGGCGCATTCTCAATCGGTTCTCCTCTGACACGTCGGTCATTGACATGGTAATGTATCCCACAATTATCTTTCTTTGTAGCAAGTTTCAACTAGCAGAGATTTAAAGTTTGTTTTGGAAAATGTAATATCCACTGACTGGGAGTTTCAATCAGATAGTTTGAAATCATTTTAAAGAGGAGTTAGTCCGTGGGATGAGGCCTTTTTTTTGCCCTCCAGATGGTCTGGTTCGCCTAAGTTTAGAAAACTTCACAGACGTGTAGATTATGGTGTACCCTATCGAAAAAAAACTTTGTTCCTCGATCCACAGTTTGTTTGGGAATGAAAAAATCTGGGATGAATACGCCAAGATTCCTGCATATTAAAGAACAAAACATAAGAAACAGCGCCCTCTATTGACATAGAAACCTTTTCGCACGCAATGGCCGGTCGAGTTCGAGCGGTCTGTTCTTGACACAGGTTTTTGGTTCTCGTGCTCGAATGGCGGGATCATGACCCATGAACACTGCACTTGGGACAGGATCACACATCACCTGTCTGTCCATCGGGGTTTTGCAAGAATAATATACCCGTGTCGTCAACAAGACCTCCCGAACTCAGCCAATGAGTGCTTGCTAGATGATACCTCTTTCATATTATTGTTGTTATTATTTCTCATCAGGATGCCAAACAAATCATTACAGTTTTGTGCAACTTGAAATGATCAAGTTTCAAGATCGAATGTTATGTATTATCTACATAAAAATCTATGGTGTGGGATTAAACCCCAGATCAGAATAATTTTGTGAACTCTTATCTCATGGTAACATCTTTGGAATAATAACAAAAGTGCGTGGCATCTGGTAGAGGATGTTAGCACATAGTAAATACAATACAGTTGCACTATTATATTACAAGCATCTGAACTTTTGAAACATCTTTTAAAAAAAATGTTATGCCTGAAATTTTAAAAATTGATGCAACCCCCAAAAAAGGAAGTGGGATTAACAAAAAAACAACAAAACATGAAACATCAACAAAACATGAATCAATTCTTTTAAACAATATTCAAAATAATAAAAACGGTAAGACGGTTTCATTTACCCAGCAATCCTTGCATACACGGCTGAAACAAATTTCAGTTGTAGTGCTGCCACTAAAAGCTTCCAAATTGAGGAATATAAATTAATTTTCTCTTGTTAAAAAAGTTTGCAAGCAGAAAGTGGGTCCTTCAACTTGATGAGACCTCTAACATGTTATACAACATTAATAAATACCTTGGAGAGTTGATGGTTTCTGATTGGTCGAGACTCGATCACGTGGCCGGTCATTAACGGTGATAATGGACCGGCTTCAAAGATCAAGCGAATAAATGGCCCCTGAACCAGCATTGATCAAGCCCCGTTCAGCCCCATGCAAGCCAATGATTGGTCAAAATATAGTAACAGTCCTGCGGTAGCTTTTAACAATTGAGCACTGCACATGCGCTCAACCCCCATCGCGTGAGACTGACGCGCGCGTACGCAACACAGTTGCTAGGGATGCGTGCGTGCGCGCGCGCGCGTAAGGAAGTTTTGAAACGACATCGTACAGCATGCAGCAGCAGTGCAGTATATACTGAGGATGTTTACGACGAAAGCGTAGATCTACGATTTATTTTCTTTGAAACACTTCACCCACCGACATATTTACCTTTCCTAAACCAAGCATCTTTGTAATTCCGGACACAAGGAATGTGTAAACGAGATTTCAGCTTCATCCATCAGGTAAAGATATGAAAACATTGTTGTAATTTGTTTCGCTACGGCAGCAGTTTCTGTTGAGTTTACGTCGTTATAGCTGTTAAGCTAAAATATGGCCCATGAACATGAACACAAAAAAGTCTGGAAATATCGTCGGAAAAAAGTCACAAAATTGGAGCATTTTAACTGTTTATTTCGTTATAAAGGTATTTATTAATGGGAATAACAGTGTGAGGATCCGTTCTTCACTGCGTGATAATGACCGGGTGTGGGGGTGACCGCTGTTAATGGACCTCGACTTCGTCTCGGTCCATTAACAGCGGTCACCCCCACACCCGGTCATTATCACGCAGTGAAGACCGGCTCCTCACACTGTTATTCCCTTATTATGTTATCAGCCTGTGATGAATATAGGTGCTCATATAGCTCAATTTTAGTATATATTGAACAAAATTATGTCATCTAAATACCATTTTTTGGGAGTAAAAACTGTGGGTTCAAATTGCTGCCCCCCAACAAATGTGAATAAATTAAATTAAATTAAATCAAATAAATCACTATTTGTATTTCTTTTGGTGATTACTTTTTTTTCTGCCTAACTGATATGGAAAAGGGAGGAAACTCTGTAAAAAAAAAAAATTCTGACGGCCATTTTTCTTTTCAATTCCTGATGTTTTTGTTTCATTTTTCAGAGGTTTTGTTTCATTTTCTGATGTTTTCATATCATTTTCTGATGGTTTCATTTCATTTTCTGACATTTTGCTGAAGTTTTTGGTGTTCTTGTTTCATTTCCGCAGCAAATTGGAGGGACCCTGAGTACTTTCTTGAGTTTTTCGATGAGCTGCCTAGTGGCTGTGCTGGTGGACGCTATCGTGACCTGGTACTTCGTCATCGCGTTGATCCCCATCATGTGCTTCTACGTCCTGCTGATGAAGGTCTTCATCACAACATCCAGGTCAGATTGGAATTTTTGTAATATCATTTTAAATAAACGTTTGTCCCTGAGCATGATACTGCAGTTGCCTTTTTTTCACAACAAGAAGGTTAGATTGATTTTATGTAATGATTGATTGATTTTTGGGGGTTGGGGGGGGGGGTTGAAATTGCATTAGTGTTTAAGTAACCTTTTTGGAAGGATGACACAATTAAAGCCATGATATCGTAGTATTTGTGTTCACAGGCAGGATACTTTACTGCAATTGCCTCTTTTTCAAGTTGGACCCAGATCCTTTTAACTGATAAAGCAACTTTTTTGGATTCAGCAATATCATCTAAGCACTACGTGCAATTTTTACAATTTGTGTGCATGTCACAGGAGATTTGAATGGAATCTGAACACAATTTTTCAAAAATTAAAGTGATATCGTTAAGTTCTGATTATTAAGATTAGAGGTCAAGGAAGGTCATCATGTTTGTATTTCATCTTATTTATTTCTCCAGGGAGTTGCAGCGTCTTGACAGCATCAATAAGTCTCCAGTCTATGCACACTTCTCTGAATCTCTGGGAGGATTGTCAACCATCAGAGCCTACAGGTCTGTTGTCATTATCCAGTTCAGGAAAATAATGTTTTAGGGTCCATGCGATGAATTTTTCTTGGGAACATATTTTGTGCAACTTTCTACTCTTCTTAAGCATATAAAACTATTTGACATCCTTTTTTGGTTAATTTGATTGAAAAGTGCACTTCTTTGATTAATTTTTTTTATGATTTTCCGGACAACTGAGGCACCATTGCTGTGTTATGTCATTTCAGGAAGACACTGTTCAGTTGAGGGGTTTTCTCCGATTGTGAACCCAAAATTTGCTCGTTGCAAACATTTGTGAGAAAGGTTTGCTCATTGGCATACTGCCACGCACTGACACAACAACGAAACACCAAAGAAAAGAAAATTTACGACAGCAAAATAGCCGAAATTCTAGCAACTTTTGTGCTAAAATAGCTGTAACATTGCAGTTTCATAAGCGTAAAACCAAAAACGCACCAAAATACCTTTGAAAATGGCAAAACGAAAATGGAAAATGATGTTCAGTGGGCCACACAGGTGTATTTTCAAGGAAAGCATTAAAAATCTTACATTGCATGGCCCTTTAATATTCAGAAATTTTATAAGCTTTTGTTTTCTCCGAGAAAAAATTCAATGTGCTTGCTTAGGTGAGACTCGAACCAGTGCCCTCCTGTTTTAAAACCAGCACAGAGGTATTAATTGTTCTATTGCCGAGCTTGCTGGGTGGAATCTGTCATGAACAAGCTTGTAATTTTTTTCCTCGGAAAGCTGTTGGACAGCTTATGAAATTATTTCAATGAATTTCAAAACCAGATGTTGCATTTCCCCCGTCTATGATGCCAAAATCCACCGTACAAAATTTTATGAGAGTCGCCCATCACAAGGTCCTACTTAAGGCCACTCAAGATGAGGGCTACACAGAGAAGGGATAGAAAAGGAAATCTTAAACAAAAAGTTACTTCAAGTAGAAAGAGAAACCGGGATGCGATTTGTGTTTGAACAAGATGCAGTTTATAGTCGTTTTGTGCAGATTCAATTTTTTAAAATAAGTAACAATATTGGCTGCAAAGTGACCAATTATTTCCTTTTGTATTTTTAAATCAGCCTCACATTTCTGTGAAATGTCATGTCTGAAAGAATTCTACTGAATAAATTATTAGTAAATATTATTGTTTCTTAAACTATGACAGGCAGCAGCATCGCTTCCAGAAACTCATCATTCAAAAGATTGAGTTGAGTAACCTGACTTTCCTGTACATGAACACAGGGAACAGGTGGTTGGGGAGCAGACTGGTGAGTACAATCCCTGGTTTGACCTTTTTTTGAGATTTAAACGACAACATCAATATTTGGGCAATTGACAACCTCACTCATAATTACATCCAAACGGTGATGTTCAAATGGTTGACATCATGATATTAAAATGTCCAATTCAAGCAGTTAATGAAATCAATGGATATTCCAGATTTTTTCTTTTAATTCCTGCAAAACAGTAAATTGAACCTTCAATATTCACACCCTGTAAGTAAAGTCAATCATTTCAACCTGTTGTTGTGAAAATCATTCATTTTTCAATTTATACCATTTAGACCGAATTAGAAAGTGAACACTCAGCTATTCTGTAACTAATTTGTTGTAATTTTGATCTTCACAGGACCTAATTGGGGCAGCCATCGTGTTATTTGCCGGCCTTGCAACCATGATATCGGCCCTCGCAGGTGGCCTCCAGCCTAGCTTGGTGGGCCTAGCAATAACATACGCTCTCAGTGTAAGTCACAAATAGATCACAAGTTGGTCACAAGTTTATCGTAAGTCCTGTCACAACTAAATCACAAGTCAATTTGCAAGTTCAGTCACAAGAAACAAGTGATGAAAAATAACAAAGGAAGGCCCAGCTACATCTTATTGTTGTAGTCGAGTCCATCACAAGTCAATTCCCAAGTCAATTCATTAGTCTGGGGACTCCGGTCACAAGTCCATCAAAGTCCATCACAAGTCAATTCTCAAGTCAATTCATTAGTCTGGGGACTCCTGTCACAAGTAAATCAAAAGTCCAGTCAAAGTCCATCACAATCCTTCACAAGTCCAGTCACAAGTAAATCACAAGTTAATTCATAAGTAGATCAAATGTCCAGTCACAAGGAAATCGCTAGTCCATTCACAGTTCTAGTCACAAGTGCATCACAAGGCATTTCGCAAGCCTGGTCATAACAGTTGCTTTGAACAGTTCATTCAAGTAGCTGCTTGGGACTTGGAGCTGGATGACTTGTTAAGGACTTGTGATGACTTGCTACTCAGTATGCAAATCTCTTATCAATATTATTTGCCAAATATGTAAGCAGAGCTTTCACCATCTTTGTCATATAAAGTCTGGTCTTTGAAGTGATTGAGACTGTTAAGAACTGATTGTGCCAGGGTCTTTTTGTTTGATATTGTGTCAAATTTTACCCTTGATGTGTCTTAGCAGCTTCTAATGTGTAGAGGGCAAGCTTTTCGGTGGTTGTTAATTTTGTGATTATTTGACCTGCAGATTTCAGGCCAGTTGAACTGGGTGATCCGTATGTCAGCTAACCTAGAGATGCAGATGAACGCCATGGAACGAGTGGAGTACTACAAGTCTGTCAAGAAAGAGGAGTATGACGGTGAGTGGACAGTGACAAAATGACAGTGACAAAATGACAGTGACGAGGGTTGAGAAATGACAATGACATTATGAAATGGGCTGAATGTCTGTCAATAGGAGTAAAACTACCAAAGATGGGTTTGGCCCAATTAAACAACGAGGTAACAGATCAGGTACCCGTAACCAACTTTACAAATTACTTACTGACTTCTCAGACAATGAAAAGAAAGATTATGAATGCCATTTGTGGGGAATTTTCAAAATGAAAACCAGGCTACACGGAAAATCAGAAGAGATTTCACATGTGCATTTTAATGCACAACAGTTGACGCATGCTTAAGTTGCAGTTAACATCGTAAAGCCCGTCAGACAAGTTCCAGGATTCAAATTTTGGGGTCGGATTTTTTTTTTACGGGTACACGAATACTTGTGTTTTACTTCAGTAGAGTACTCGGTTCCCGTACTACCCGTAAATGCCCACCACTAGTAACAGGTCAGCTTTGAGCCAACAGTTTTTGGCAAAACTCCCATTTTAACAAACCATTTATATCACTGTGAAGGAAACACAACAGAGTAACACAGGTTGCTTCAGAATTTATTGCCAAGATAACTATTTGGCCTTTGACAATTACAACTGCATGGACACATATTGACAATAGACATAGCTGTAGCTTTTAACACTTGTTACTGACTTGGCCTCATTTTGTGTTCTGGTACAGGTGTAATTGAGCCACGCCATGATTGGCCAGATCAGGGTGAGATTGTCTACAAGGGTGTCTCAGCCCGATATGCTTCAGATCTTGATCCTGTGCTCCATGGTATTGATATCCACTTCAAGGCAGGAGAAAAGGTACGCTGACGTGATTGTTATTAAGCCTGTTAACCCATAGGCAGGGTTCTTAACTTTTTTGTTCACTAGCCAGCCGGACTAGTGAAACTGACTCTTATCTAGTCCGTAGGTTTTTTTCACTAGTCCGCAATAGAATCATTAAATTTGTTCGCTAGAATGTCATCAACAACAATGTTATTTACAATAATTTTGACTCGCCAGGTGGACTACTTAGGGAATGGGTTTGACTAGTTCACCACTGTTTTTACTCGCATTTTGCCAGCGGATGTAACCGTTAAGGTCCCTTTACCGCCTCAAACCGCCCTGCCTGTTACTACCTGGTAACGCCCAAACCACCCTACACTCTATATGGCTTGACGGCTTTATCAGGGAATAAATACAATGGAATAAAGTTGGCAGTTTGGATAAACTCCTCCAAAGTCGTTAGACAAGGCATTAACGAATGTACCAAGTAGCTATATTTACTTGTACTTTCTTTGGGACATCAAGCCCCATGTTACGTAATAGCGGCTGGGGTGCACCTTTAACAATTCCTACAAAATCCCAAAACCTCCTGCAGGAATTTGTAGGATCTTTAGAGGGTAACTATTAAGAATATCTCACCCTTCTGTAAATTTTAGGGTTCCATTTGCCTCAGAAATGCACGTGAGTCTTGGATATATTGTTTACCAATCTTGAAAAAGAAAGATTTTGATAGATTTTGACAAAAGGGAAGGGATTTCTACAGGTTTTATCATATGATGAGCAACTATAAGCAGATAACTGAAAGTTTGATTTTCTGTGTGTTTAGATCGGGATTTGTGGTCGGACTGGAAGCGGTAAATCATCGCTGACCCTGACCCTCTTTAGAATCATCCAGACATTTAAAGGTCAGTCCAACAGTCCTATAATCATGAAATATTGCATACCTGGTGTCAGGGCATTACATTTATGCAAATGTTACACTGTGTATTCATTCAGGGTTCCACAAATGGATTTCATATAACTTGGGGGAAAAACTGAATATCTTAAAACAAATTTGAATGAGGATATCACAACTTATTAAATTTACTACTAAGTCATCTGCAGTTAACTTTACTGAGTGCAACATGTGTCAGAAATGTCTTTGTGATAACGTCTGAAATTTGCACAGTAGTATTCAAATTTCAGACAGTCCAATGAAAGAACACTGTTGAACTGACATGTTGAGTTTTCAGATAATTCGAGGTCGTGGTGTCATCTTATAATCATGTATGGACAAGTTTGCAGTGTTGTAACAGACGTTCACTGCCTTAGAAATCCTTTCACGACCTAGTCCTTTTATAGCCATATAGGTCATGTCAGAACAACAGAATATAATTAGTGTTGCCTTTTTTTTGTCATTCCTTTTGTTACCGGTTCATTTTGCATACATGCATCGTCACGTAACTCTTCTGTAATGCTAATCCTTACAGGGCAAATCTTGATAGATGGAGTGAACATTGCCCATCTGCCGTTGGTGGAAGTCAGACGTCGTCTGGCCATCATTCCACAGGACCCGGTACTCTTCACTGGAACTATCAGGTGAATGCACAAAGAAAGCAATCAGTCTTTCATACTAACGTTTGCTTGTATATTTTTTATAAAGAGCTTGAGGTCAGAGAGGTGAACACAGTTCATCCTCCAAACCGTACAAATTGCCGAGTTCCTGTCAAGTACAACAAATGAAATTCACGAGGCAATGTCATCAAAAGAATGTGCACTGCAGGCAAAGCAGGATGTGCGCTGCCAATAGCAAATCAACCTTGTGAATCGCTTGTTTGTTAGAAAAATAAATTTGAAAAATATTGTGTTGTTGTCTTCAAGGTTTAACCTGGATGCCAGGGGCGAGCATGACGATGATGCATTATGGGAAGCCCTGGAGATTGCGCAGCTGAAAGATGTGGTGTCCGAGCTTGACCTCAAACTGGGTAAGAATTGGACCTCACAACCTCCCCTGGTGTTTTTCTCTGTCACCTACCGAAAAGCAATGGGCTCCGTTGTGTACAACACAGGGCGCTTTTAGCACTTTCGAGAGCCAAGTAGACAAGACACACTGCATGTTCGAACTGGTTCAAGGGCGTATAGCGCCAAGTATACACAACTTAGTTTATTCTGAATGTTCACAAAGCCAAATTTTGCATGGGCATGAAGCATTGTTGGCAGCGCTTACGAAAATGTCTCTCCCAGTGGTCTCCCCCAACTCTCCCTTTCTAACCGTTGAGGGGGTACTTGTGCACGGAGCCCATTGTATTGTATTAATTTACATTATTTCACTGTTGTAAGACTAGTGGTAAACGAACCATTATGTCGCTTGTCAAATCTGAGCTATGAAAAATTCACCTTGAGCCAGACTCTTGTGTTGGTCAGGACCGTTGTTTTATTTGTTTACCGTCAAAGCTTTCAACGCTCACCTTTTTTTTCTTCACTTTCTTGCAACAGACGCCATGGTAACGGAGGGAGGTGAGAATTTCAGCGTGGGTCAGAGGCAGCTGTTTTGCTTGGCTCGTGCCTTCTTGAGGAAGACTCGCATCCTGGTCATGGATGAGGCAACCGCCTCCATCGACTTGGAAACCGTGAGTGCCTCCACCATTTCATCCTCTCTGGGTTGACAATTCATTCAACTGTTGTTGCTGGACTTCTTCCAACGAATTTTATCCTGTCCTCTTTTCGGGTACCAGTCTTCAAGACAGTCTTTTTTGTTTAATTTGACATTTTTTCCTCCTAGGATGCCATTCTTCAAGATGTCGTAGCCTGTGCCTTCAAGGAGAGGACTGTACTCACCATAGCTGTAAGTAACACATTTTTGCAGAAACACCAGAAAAATGTCTTTGCACTTATAATAACCAGGAATGATCAATTGAATTTCACCCTTAGTCCAACAGCCATGATATCCGTGGGAGTATTGTTCACCTTCAATTTATACACCTACCTTTTAAATTTATTTTTCCATCTTTTGCAGCACCGTGTGCAAACCATCTTGGACTCGGACCACATCTTGGTTCTGAATGAGGGCAGAATTGCAGAATATGACACGCCACAGAATCTGCTAGCCCAGGAAGATAGTATCTTCGCTTCCCTGGTGAAGGCAGGAACTTAAGAAGGTGGTTTTAGGGATAAAGACTGCACTTTGCATGATGCAGCTATTTTCAGGGTGTCAAACAATGGAAATACTCTATCATGAGTTGTATGGTTAGTAGAAAACTAACTAGTTTTTCAATTTATTTGCGATGGTAAAGACTTATCCAACAACCACATTTAGAAGATATTATTAGTTGGTAATAATAATAAGAAATAATTTGTATTACAGGAAATGGCACCATAGGGTTGTGCAGAAAATGTGTCCATTGAAATGTCTCCCTAATGTCCGGTGTCTCCCTCAGGTATACGCATGCCAAAAAATGTCTCCTTAAGGGGACATTAACATGAATTTAAAAATGTATATTGCGCCCTTCACATTATAATGATCAAAAGCACTTTACTTGTGCACAGGCCATACGCATATACTTCGTGCTTCTTCGACCAAATTGGTTTTCAAATTATATGCGCACCTCAAATTAAGAATCAAGGTGCTTTTCTTTCTCCCTAACCAAAGAGCAAAAATTACCATTCCCAAATGTGTTTCAGTTTAGGGCATACACCTAACCCAATACCTGTAAAATGACTTGCTGGAGGACAAAAGCTTCACACTTATAAATTCCAGCCTTAGTTTGCACTCTTGTTGAGAAGAATAACTCGGGTATTGTAAATGCTTCTTAATTGAGAGCAAAGTCACACCGAATCACACAATGAGTGTTAAGTTGCACAGTTGCAGGAAGGCCAGTTAGTAGCAATTGTCACGGGTAATTGTTGACCTCTATACCTTATTCCATCAGATTTTAATGAAAATTTATCAATTATGAAAAATGACTGTCGTTTTAAAAACTTTGATGTCTCGTAAGGGCACAGGGCTCCAGACTGCCAAAAGGTGTTTTTTTTCCGTTGGAAAAGCAGCTAACGAATATAGGCAATTTTAGATTTGTTGGTATCAGTAGTGATGTTACTAAAACACAATAATTTTCTCCTTAAGTTAGTTATCTTAGCATTCAGGGTAATTTAGAGGGCTTAAAGTTATTCAATATTTGTGTGTGTTTTTTGTGTGTGTATATATTTGCATATTTAGGGTTGTTTAGTTCTTATTCTCTTCTAAGTAATAGTCCAAATAACAGGTATTATTGGACAAGGGCGTCAGTTGCATCTCAAAAGTGGGGGGGGGGGGGGCATACCTTGATCAGCACTAATGCGAGCGCAAAGCGCAGAGCCCTAACTTTTTGTAAGAAGTATATATGATCTTTTGCTTTTTATGATTTTTTTCGTTTGAGGCAACAGAATTACTCAAATTGTAATCGGGGTGTGTTTATAACAACTTATCTGTGGAACATTTAGCTCAGTGCGTACTGTACATTTTGAGAAATCAAATGTACAATTGTTGGGGTCTTGTAACTGGATTCCGTTGCTAAAGCACATTAAAAAAACACACAGCTTCAATGATTGTTTTCTTATGAACGGAATAATTTCACAGGGTATAGACCCACCATTTCAGTCATGTTACCTGTATCCAATAACAGCACTGAATGATAATGTTTTTGTGCAAAAAGGAACCAGACTATTTTTCCTTCCAGCCTCGCTTTGGTTACATTGATTTAAATGGGGAAAAAAATCTAGATGGCCGCAACATGATAATGGTCTATTTGGGGCCAGCCCTACCTTCACTGTAAGCAATTTTTTCCCCACTAAATTGTTAGGTCCATTTCTGGGTAAGTACCAGTGTTCCTACATGCCTTTAACTAGGTCTAAATATTTCCCCATTTCACTAAGATGTGTTCAAATTTTAACTGACTATGTACAAGTAATCTTGAAGTTCATTTTGTAACCATACATTACTATATGGGTACCAATTCTAAATGGTAGTCATTAGTATATTGTTTCCAGTATATTTTGCTTTAGTCGTTAGTATATTTTTTCCTTCATTATATTTTACTATTTTTTATTATCCTTGGTTTGTAAAAAAAATCTTGGGTTCAGTGAATTAACTGCAGGCATGCAACTTCTCAGATCAGCTGATTTCCTCCTTTTTTAACTTCCCGTATGTGCCATTAAACATAGGAAACGCAGTGTACAAAGTCTTGGAAAGATTTGAATGTCCTCCATTTTGTGTGACTTCCCAGTTGCTTGCCTGTTAACTGGGAAGACACACAGGTTTCAGAAACATTGTGAAATGCAAAAAGCAGGGCTGGTTATCTCTGGTTTAAGCAGTTTCAAGTAGCAAAAGGGTAATAAAAATCTTTGAAAGAAAAATATCTTTTTGAACATTTCCATGTTCAGGGGTGAGCCTCATCTTTTTAGACCCATGTGGTGTTAGAGATTTCAATGTCTGATAGTTAAGTTTTCTTTTGATAATGGTGTAGGTATTTCCGTGTGCCAAACTAGAGTTGTTTATGTCTTTCAATTTTCTGTTCTTGATGTCACAAACAGTTCAGTGCAAAACACATAGTTTCTTTGTGATTTTTAAAAAGCAACTTTACTTATACATGTATACATAATCTCTGTATGGCATTCATAAATACCTAAGACAGTTTACCCATTCCTATTGGTCGAGAGCCCGTCACGTGGGTGGTTTTAAAACACCGACTGGCTGGTTTTAAACACTTTTCCGGTGTCACATGAAATTGACTCCTATGTAATCTGGTGCATGCCTTTTACACTTGGATTGGTTGAACTTTCACAAACTTCAGTTAGACATGCGCAACTCCACCAATGAGTCCGTATTTTGAGAGTTCTAAATTCACATTACCCCGGCATCGCCACGTACTGCGCCACATCACGCAGTACGCGCCACGAGCACACCAATATCCATATAAGGAGATATTTACGACTACGTGCGACCATAACATATCTAGAGAGGTGTTAAAAAAAAGAAGTACTTTTGTTGAACAAATTCATGAACAAAAATCACACGAAAAAAAAATCATTGGAAATGAAAAAGTGTTGACTTGTTTTTACTTTTTGACTCAAAGGTATTTATGAATGGGAATAAATATGTGCTTGGCCGGTATTAAACAAGTACGTTTAAAAGCGATAATGTCTTTCAACTTCGGCTTGGGCCATTATCAGACAGTGTCCAGGCCCCTCCGGCGGTTTAAACGTACGTGTTTTAAACCGGCTCAGCACATACTTATTCCCCGAGTAGTTTACAGTACACATCTAATGTGTTGTTTCCTCTGATATACTAAAAGTTTGTGGACTGTCAAATATTGTGTGATTATTCGAAAATTATAAATTGATGTCATCTGTGTAGATGCAATGTATTTTCAAATTATATTTTCTTTGCAATTATACAAAATTATGTGTAATTAAGAGTGTTAAAGTTTTCACCTATTTTCTGTTTATGAATTGATAATAAACATTGAATTTTCTTTGAGTCTGTTTTTGTTTTTGTTTGTTTAATTTGTTTGTTTGTTGGGGTGTTTGGTTGTTTTTTTAACGATGTATCTTTGCTGTTACTTTTTGTCATTGTAGTGACTGTTTTACACATGACACTACAAATTTCTTATTTTTGTTGTACTGATTTTTCTTTGTCTATCATGTCTATAATTAACAGAAATGTTGGTATTCATCTATAAACATCCCGGTATGTGTTCATACAGAGTTTCAACCCAACCTTGTACTTCTGTAGATAAAGGCCATTGAAAAATGCACCTTTAAGATGACGTCACATGACGCATGATGACACAACTTTGCTATAGGGACTAATGTCTATGCTACTTCTAAGTGATGCATGATAAAGATGAATGCCCAAATTGGATGGGAGACAAATCGTGCAAAAAGCCTATGGGATTTGGGATAGAACAAGAAGAACAAAATCAGAACAAACACAAAGGCTATTCCGCAACTTTGCGAAAAAGTCAATTATTATCAAGTTACGTTAGTTACAGGCATGCAATTTTTCCTCGGATCTGCTGATTTCCTCGTATTTAACTTCTCGTGAATGCCATTACAAATTGAAAAACACTGTACGAAGTATTGTGTTGTTTGGAGTTCCCTCGTTTTTTTAAATCTAAATTCCAGTTGCATGCCTGTAGTTAACTTGCATGCAGGTTAATTTCTAGGTCTTGAATTTATTCAATATTTGTGTGCGTTTTTGTATATATTTTCATATTTTGGGGGTTTTTGCTTTCGTTAAGCCAATGCCCTTCTAAATAGCAGTTGAAATAACTGACATGATTAGGTGTCACATATAGATTACACTGTCTTTAAAGAATTGTGTAAAACACATTGAATGTTCGATTTTTGATATTGGAAATTGTGGTATAATATAAAATTCCCAAAAATTAATGTATGGAATACATTGGCAGACCAGCTGGGGCATAAAGAATGCTTATTATAAATCAGATACAAAAGGAACCTTTTTTTATTTATAAATGTGGGATTTCTTTTTATTGCATACTTTTGCCATGAGTGACTTTAAGTAGCATATGAATGTGTATGTTTAATTCCATTTAATATCTGATTATACCCAGGGAAATTAAGAAAGTAAAACAATATCTAAAACAAAATGTAACTGAAATAATAGTAAAAAAAAAAAATGACAAAAAATTAAACTTTACAGAAAGAATTTAAAGGGAATGTACAACATTTGTTTTTGCTGCAATTTTCAGAAATAAATGGATTTGGAGGAGTATGTTGATATAGCAAATATTGTTAAAATGACTTGTTTCACGTTTTGGGCTCGTAGATGCTGGAAAAAACCAAGAAAACCAATCATGTTCTTGTAGTCTGGTTCCCTGACCCCACTTAAGATGAAACGGAGAATTTATAGACTTTGGGAATTGTAAGGTCAGAGAATCAATCTAGCAGGCTTTTACCCCTTCACAGTTGTGTAATCAATTGCAAAATAATGCCGAATAACTAATTATGAAAAAGTAGGAGCAGTTTTTGAAAAACGCCAGTTTTCTCCAACGCTGGTCGGCCGACCAGCATTGGAAAAAATACCATTTTTCTTGAAAATGCAAGCACACCGGGAACCACATTTTTACAGGATACTTTACTGTCATTCCCTAACAATGCAGTAAGGTATGTTGTAATAATTTGATCGTTTCTTTTTGTGATGTTTGCAAATGTTGTATCTTCCCTTTAAAGACATAATACATGTAAAGCTGTGATGATTTATATCAGTGGTTTTTTTTTCGATGTTTAATCTGAAAGCATACTTGGTATACAATTTGTAATTGTACCAATTGTCTTTTGCATACAATTCAAAACATAATGTGTATAAAGCATCTCAAAATGTGTAAGCGCTACATGCTGATTTCTAAGAACAAAAAAAAGAAAAGAATTGAGCACCTATTGTGATGAAATTTCACAGCATGATGATATAACTCCTGAAATAGACAGTTTACATAAATGTACTCACTTACTAAACAGTGCTCTACCATCCTTTTATGAAGAAATATGATGGTGGAAGAAACTCATATATTCAAATATCTGTTGATGAAACACCAAAAAGACATAACTTTTTGTATGAATATATGTTTAATATTGTGACGTGTCGTGCCAGCCCTCCTGCGTCAGGCTGGTTTGGTTGGTAGCGTGCCGTCCCGATGGTGTCCTATCCCTGCAGTGGTGGGCCACAGCACCAGGCTATCCCCGCTTCCCGGTTGACTGGATCAGCCAGTAGTAGTCAGGGCAGTGGAATGGGAGTGGGAACCGGGAATCGGAATGTGGAGTCGTAGGAAGTGGGTGGAGTCGGAATGTGGGTGGAGTAGGAATAGGGCGGAATAGGCGGAGTCGGAATGTGGGCGGAGTCGGCGGAGTCGGATTGTGGGTGGAGCAACTTTGGGACTTTGCCCAGGACTTAGTCCTAAGTAGACCCTATGGTGAACAGAAACAGTAATCAAGTACGGTGGTCATGCCTTTAATCATCATCATCCGTCATGTCATTCCACTCAATCAAGAACCCTAGCAATTATTCTAATCATTTGAGAATCAAGCAATCAAGTGACTAAATCCTAGCCCTGCAACCCCTTTTATAGATTTCAAGCCCCATCGGCTGTGTACAACTTCTCTTTGCCATACAACAGCGCATAAACTCAATTGACCAATCAGAAACAAGGATCCCTTATATGCAAAGTATGGGTGATTCACAGTGTGCTAGTGTATTTAAAACATACAGTTGGTGACTTAATTCCTATTCCGTCACATAGCCCCCCTCCCAAAGTTTTTAGTCCCTGAAAACTACAAGAGATTTTGATAAAACAACTCAGATGAAATAACTAAGACAAAATATTTTACATGAAAACTAGTGTATTTAAAACATACAGTTAGTGACTTAATTCCTATTCCGTCACAATATGTTGCTCTGTTGTTAGCTGAAGTGCTTTTCAATATAAGGGAATAAATATGTCCTTGGCCGGTTTTAAACAAGTCTGTTTAAGACCAGTTTGGGGAATGGACGCTGATAATGACCCAAACCGAA